TGTCTCAATTTATGCATGCGCCTCGCCTTGATCATATGGAAGCTGCCAAACGAGTTCTTCGCTACTTGAAGGGTCATCCAGGACAGGGTATTCTCTTACGTAGTGACAGCTCACTACAGCTATCTGCTTATAGTGACTCCGACTGGGCATCTTGTCCTCTTACTCGTCGCTCTGTGAGCGGCTACTTTATCCTTCTAGGTGGCTCGCCAGTTTCTTGGAAAACAAAGAAACAAACCACCGTGTCCCGTTCATCAGCAGAAGCTGAATATCGTGCCATGGCTAACGCATGTGCAGAGGTACGATGGATCCGCGGTCTTCTTGGGGCACTCGGCATTACTCCACCGACGACGCCACGTTTGTTTTGTGATAACAAGTCCGCTTTATTCATTGCTGCCAATCCTGTTTTTCATGAACGCATGAAACATATTGATATTGATTGCCACATTGTCCGTGAATGCGTTCAGCGCGGTGAGATCGCCACCGCATATGTTCCTACTCGGCTACAAATTGCTGATTTGTTCACTAAGGCTTTGAACAGGCCTCTCTTCGAGTTCTTATTGTCCAAGTTGGGCATTTGTGATCTTCATGCTCCAACTTGAGGGGGAGTGTTAGCATATATATTTATTTACTACCATATATGTAATTAGTTTCCTTTGTAATTAGTTTCCTTGTTAGTAGTTTCCTTGTTAGTAGTCCTTTCCATACTTGGAGTAGGACTTGGCACATGTATATATACGTTGTGAATATTGAATGAAAGGCAGTTCAGTTTTTCCAAAATTCTACACGAACGTAGTCCATTTCCCACATTGGCACCACATGTTGGCTAGATACAAAGAAAATGTCTTTTGGTTATTTGTGCCTCCAGCGATGCCCCGTACAATTACACGATAAATACCTTCCTTTACGTGATGTGGTAGAACACGACAATGCAATTGTGTATCATCCATACGCGTTACTTCCTTCTAAACGTGTCTAGGATATTTGTATCCCGTCTGTTGCCATGTGAACCCTTGTATGCGCTTTTCTGCAAATAGTCTGACTAATCTTTTGTGTGTGGTCAAGACAATAGTGTATATCGATAGACACTGACATCCCTTCATGACATGATTAAAGCTTTCTGAAAGATTAGTTGTGAGAATTCCATACCTTGCCTCACCGTCGTAAGATAGTGCCCACATTTCCATTGGTAAGGCCACCAACTAGTTGTATGTATCAGGAGGTCATGATGCAATTTCTTGTAATGTTTGGTGGCACTCCTTAATATCTGGTGTACTGGCGGCGTGGTACATTAGACTCTTAACCCTTTTGTTGGTAAATTTTTTCTGAAAATTACTCCTAAGGTGGCGTAGGCAATTTCTTTGTGTCACTTGTTGTTCTAGTAAGTGGGGCACTCTCCTAAATGCTACATCAATTCCACCATGTCTCTCATAAATGATGCAGACCGTCATCTCAACTAGTATGACATGATGCATTAAATGTTTCATGAACCAAGTCCAACTATTCCCGTTATTTACATCAACAACTGAATAAGTTGTGAGCAAAATCTCGTGGTTGGCCGTCATTACCACAGCCAATATTAAGACCCCCTTATACTTATCGTACAACTGAGTGCCATCAATATAGACCACTAGGAAGCAAGACGTGAACTCATCTATAACTGCTCGGATTGGCCAAAACACATACATGAACTCAAACTTGTCTTGAGAGACAGTGGGCCACATTTGTAGCTCCATGACCGTACCAGGATTGAATGTATTATAACTCCAAGTAGTGGAAGTACTTTTCTATAAGAGCTCTCCCATGGCCTCTAAAGCCATTGAATTGCACTCAACCTTGCACACCATGCCTTTTTGTAGGATACAATATAATTACTTAAAACAAATCATAGACATCTTTAATGATGTATTTGATTGTGTAATCTGCATCCTCCGTGATCTTTGAATTAATAAATCTAGTAATAAGCTCACTTGTAATGAACTTGTCGTCCCTCTCTTTAGTATAGTTTGGTCTACACGAATGTTGCCCTTGAATTGTTTGATAGTCCAAACGGAAGACTTTTTAACCTGAACAACCTAGATCATCCACGAGCATTGCCCGGCATCAGAGCATTTTGCCTTCCAATATTTGGCACATTTTGCATGTGTGCGAAAGTGCTTATGCTCCGCTATGGTTCAAAGCAAAAAACAATCGGCAAACATTAGTCTCCGCTATGTGCTCCGATGTTTTACTCCTAGTTTAATCTTTTTCCTTTTTTTTAAATAGCAAAACGGAGACACCAATGGGGAAGTTTACTCACATACACCATGAGGAATACCTTTTGATTTCGTAGATATATAGTAAATACTTCCTCCGTCGTGGAATACTTGTGTGCATTTAACTTTATTTGACCAAAACTGACAAACTTTGACCCTAAATTAAATAAAAATGTAATAGAAATCGATACAAAAATAAATTTATTAGATTTATCATATAAAATATTTTCAAAATATTACTTAATATAATTGATATAAAATACATATTTTATTTAATAATGCATTAAAAGTTGAAAATGATTGATTTAAAAAAATTTAAAAGTGGATAAATATTTTAGAACTGATGTAATATTTCTTGGAGGGTTTATGCTGATAAATGTTGCTGGAGGTAAGATCTCACTTCTTCCAAATACCAATTCTCCATCCCTCCACCTCCACTACAATTCCTACTAGCACCCAGCATTCAGCGACAACAATTCCGACTAGCACCCAGCAACGTCGCCAGTCCTGTCGACTATCAACAGCATCGGCGACGACCTAAAGAGGTCTCGCCGCCGGCTTGCCACTACCGACCGCCTCCAGTCAAACCCACCGGCGGCGATGACTTCTTTTCATTTTAGATGCTCTCACCAATCCCGCCGTCTCTCTCTATCAGTTAGCAACTGCTTGCCACCTGCTGCAGGCGATTTGCTACCAGCAGAGGCGGCCTTCTGGGCGTCACCCTCAGGCACCACCGCTGCTCTATACATTGCATAGAAGGCCTTGATTGAAGGCATTTCGATTTTCAATTGATTTTGGTTACATTGGAGAAGTAGTTTGGCTTTGCTGAGATATGCGTTTGTACTCAAGGTGAAAGGTTTACAGGTTTAATATTTGAAATAGATGTTCAGAATTAAAGGTAGGTTGTCGACAAAGCTACTGAACATAACTGTAGCATGTCTTTGTAAAGACAAACAACTGGAAAGAGCAGAAGCAGTGATACTTGATGGTATAAGAGTTGGAGTAACATCAGATTTGGTGACTTACAATACTCTGATCACAGCATACTGTCATTTTGTAAGCATTGATGCAGGTTATAGCTTTATTTATAGAATGAAAGAAGCTGGCATTAAGCCAGATGTTATTACGTATAACTCATTGATAGCAAGTGCTTCCAGGCATGGCTTGTTATCTCGATGCATTGACCTGTTGGAAGAAATGCTTGAGGTGGGTATTCTGCCTGATATATGGACTTATAATACATTGATGAATTGCTTGTTTCGACTGGGAAAACCAGATGAAGCCTACAAGTTTTTTCAGCACATTTTTTTGGGAAATGTGCACCCTTGTCCAGTCACATTTAATATTCTATTTAGTGGTCTTTGCTTGAATGGGCATACAGAAAAGGCTCTCGTGTTATTTAAGAACTTAAAGCATTCTGGGTTTATTCCACAGTTGGTAACATACAACATCCTTATCCACGGGCTTTGCAATTTAGGACGTTGGGTGCCTGCAAGAAGGCTTCTCAATGAACTAATTCACATAGGTTATAACCCAAATGCCATAACATATACTACAATAATGAAATGCTGTTTTAGGTCAAGACGATTTGAAGAAGGGCTTCATATATTGGAAGAGATGAGAAGGGAAGGATATATCTTTGATTCATTTGCATATTGTACAATCATTAGCTTCTTAATTAAGGCGGGCAGGATGGAGGATGCGTATAATTGTGTAGCAAATATGATCATGAATGGAATTGAGTTTGATTTAGTGGCTTACAACATCCTTCTTAATTTTTACTGTAAGGAAGGTAAACTGGATGATGCGTACATGTTGTTGGATGAAGCAGAAAGAAGAGGGTTTGACTGTGACAAATACACGCACACCATATTAATAGATGGGCTGTGCAAGGCTGGAAATATGACCATGGCAATTCGTCGTTTGAACTGTATAAAATTGATGGGTTTCGACTCAAGTTTGGTTGCTTTCAATTGCTGTATTGATGGGTTGTGTAAAGTTGGTGAGGTTGATCATGCATTAAGGTTGTTCAATTCAATGGACAAGAAAGATTGTTTTACCTATTCATCACTAGTGAATGGTCTTTGCAAGGCTAAGAGGTTTCATGTAGCGGCAAACCTATTGCTTTCAGGTATCAGAAGTGGTATGAAGATTCTAGAATCAGATGCTCGAGCAGTTATTGACTGTCTTCAATATTATGGCTTTATGCATGAAGCTAGGGAGCTCTGTTCAAAGATTCAGTTGGCCCAGATATTGAACTACAAGTAACCTATCAAACAAAGATGTTGTGTTAGAGGTGATCTATATCACTTGACTTAACACTTCTATCGGAGCAAGGTGTTTTCATGAATCTACGGGAATGGAATGAATTGCCACTCTATTACATTCTTACGACGATAACAATCTCCCGTCACATTGAAGTCTTTTCCACAAAGAATGAACAAAAACGTGAATCTAGCATCTCAAAAGACTTGAAGTGTGCAGACCTTTGGAAGGTATGCTTATATTTATATATTTATACACACACACACACACACACACACATATATAAATGAAACTTGTTCCCAGTAATCAGTTATTATGGAGTATAGACTAAGAGGTTGATCCTCTCCATATTTATTCTCTTTCAATTGTGTTTCTGTTGTAAAGGTTGAATGAGGAGTTTGACAGCATAAAACTGGTTTTGGTTTCCTAAATAAAGAGCTTCCTAAATGTCTACCAATTAACTCTTTATGATAATTGTAAGAGCTTACAAAATAGGTCCAATCAGAATCATTGACTGCCAAATCTCCATTTGACTGCAGGTTTACTTTGCAAACTGTAAGAGCCACATCCTGCTGATCATAATGGCGACTAGTTTCCTGACTAACACTACTCAAAATTAATTGTATTGACATTCTAGCTTTCTTATACAGGTCAGTCTATCAAACTTTGAGACTGTAGGCAATGTTTGAAATGGCATTACATATTATGCCATATTGCACGCCTCATGTTTATTTCCGGATAAAAATGCCTTGTGGGAGTTATGGCGATCTAGCCACAGGCCATATGGTTTTCTCAATTATGGCACAAGAAGGCGTGCATTTTTTCTATAAAAAAATTAAGATCGAGTATTGGGCCTCCCTTGCAAGCTCCCTTTGAGCCTCCCCTTCTTTTATTTGTTTTAGAGTAAATTCCCAAAATAGTCCTTGGTAATAAGGTGTTTTCCCAAATCAGTCCTCAATAAGTATTAATTACCTACGTGGTCCTCTATAATTGAGATTTATTCCCAAGATGGTCCTTCATAAATAATGTTACTCAAATGATGATTAATTGAGGGTATTTTGGTATTTTTTATCCGCTAAATTTAGAATTAATTCTTAAAATGATCATTTATAAAGAAGTGTTTTCCCAAAATGGTTTTTTTCTAATTAAAGATGTGTATTTGATTTGAAATTTAAAAGATTTTTTTATAAGTTTTAAATAATTCATGAATTATTTATAGTCAATGTATTTTTTCAATTTTACATTTAGTTGTACATAAATAACTATTTCAAGAATGTATACTTTAAATTTAGATGATCAAAATACCAAAATATCTCCCAAAGAATCATTTTGGGAATTTACTCTTGTTTTTATATATTTGTATTTGTTTAATGATAACATTTTATTCTTACTAATTTGCTACTAATTTAATCCTTTTAGTTTTTATTATTACTAATTTGCCATTAAAACTTGAGAATTTTATGTTCATTAATTTTTATTGTTACTGATTTTATTGCTTATACAGGTCTGTCTATGAAACTTTGAGACTCTGGGTGGAGATCCTACCACACAGTTACATTTTAGAGGTTTCACTTGATTCTTTAGAACTTAGTAAATTGTAAAGGCAAAATGCAGTTGACCTCATTGTGGCGTCGCATTACAATTAACACTGTCAAATGAATGTGAACACAACCTGACTGGACAGAAAAGCCCCATTACTCATGAATTCAGAAAGAGAGAAGATTCTACACAAGGGTTCCTACCGATGTTGCATGAAGACAGGTATGGTTATCCATATTGGGCATGCATATAAGTATCGGTTATGAAAACTTTTTGCTAATTGGGGTGTGAGTATGGCAATATGTGTGTTTAAAATAGAAAAAAATATTAAAGACAAAAACAATTGTGTGACCACTAAATTTAGCTTGTGTTAGGGTCTCTTCATTTGGGTTGAAAAAGTTAACTTCCAACTTTTTCCAATCCTTTCAGTTTCTTCCAACTCTTTCAAGTCTCTTCCAACAACGACTAGAAAAAGTATTTACATTTCATGAATATACAATAACATCATAATCCAAATTTATAACATACCACCTCAAAAGCAAACAAAAATGAATTTTTTTATCCAAAATTAGTTTTTTACATATTTATTTGGGTAATTATTTATTGAGTGATTTTTAACACTATTTTTCCCAACATTTTCTAACTCCTTCCAGTTTCTTACAACATTCAACTCTGTTTTTACAACCAAAACGAACATAGCCTTAAAAGGTGAGGGTCTCTGAAAGGGTTGAAAGGAGGGGCTAAAAGGAAAAAGATAAACAAATTGAAAACATTTAAAACTACATTGTTTTATTCATCAACGTACTAACTGCACACAAGTGTAACAAGGTTGTAGCCAATTTTCGAAAAAATGCCTTCTTCATCTCACAATTAAATCTATAAAATCTATAACAACAACAACAACAACCCAGTTAAATCCCACAAGAGTAGGGTCTGGGGAGGGTGTGTGTACGCAGACGTTACCCCTACTCGAAAGTAGAGAGGCTGTTTCCAAAGAGACCCCCGGCTCAACGTCGAAAGTTGCATTGCTTGACTAACTGCTACTTCATTAATTAAAGAAGCGCAGACAGTTTAGAAATCCATTTTGATTTATTCCATCACACCCCAAAATGATAACAAATTATTTGTAGTATCTTCATATTATAAATTACTACCCCTGTCCAAGTTTATTCGTCGAGTTTGACTCTTTTTAGTGTACGAACTTTGAACCTCAGTTAAATAAAAAACTACAATGTATATTAGTATAAAAATGGTTTACTTAGATTTATCCCATTGAGAACTTTCAAAATAATTTTTTTATTGTATTAAAATGCAATAAAAATTGAGAGTAATTGATGATTAAGGTTCGTTAAGTTTGACCCGAGAAAGTCAAATTAGAATACACTGAGACGAAGGGAGTATTAATCACCGATCAAAGCCAACAAACTTTGCCACAAAGGTCAAATGTGATCTTTTTTTGTAGGACGGAGGGAATAGTATAATGTTTGGGTAGGTACCTAGGCATACCCTTTATAGGTACTATTGCCAAAATAAAGCAGTCGTGCTTCATAGGCTTTTACATACGTAACTACATAAGTGCTTTAACCATTTCTTCAAGGCCTACAATGGAGAACTCAAACAACGGATATATTACACAAGATTATAATTTGAGAGTACTAGGAAAAATCGTGATGTCCTTAAAAGAAATGTGTTTAAGCAAATGTGTAAAAAAGACCCAATAAGAGTATGTGTTGTATGTATATGTATGTGTGTCTATATATATATATATATATATATATATATATATATATATATATATATATATATATAAGAATGTCACAACATAAAGAAGATAAAGCTTTTTACTCCATAAAATATGCTCGTAGTAACAAAAGGAGAATTTAGTTGCTGAAATTTAACATACAAATTGGGTTGAACATTTTCGATTAACAAAGATACTAGTTTGAATAATCTCAACCTTTTCTTCTATCAAATATATCAGAATTCGGTCAACAAAGATTAACATTCTAGCCTGTTGAATTATATTATATATATATATTTCTTTCTTAATACTTAATCTACTCTATATACCAATTTATATTATATTTTTGGATTCCTAGAGATTAAACACTATTATAATTGTCTTAAACCAATTTGAGAATAGTATCTGCCTATCGGGTTGCTTTTCTGGGTAGGCTCTCTGTTGTTTTTGCTCGTATGAATCTAAATTTTCAATATTTCTGTGGCAATATAGTTATCTAAATGTCTTATTTTTTTCTCCATCTTATTTATTGTGAGCTTAGTTTTCTTGTTCTCTTAGTGATGAACTTTTTACTAACTATGCTTATGTGGTTTTACTTGTCTAATTACATCATACTTTCCACTTGGTATAATTTTTTGGTGATGAGCATTGTAGTGTGTTTGATTTTGTTGAAAGGAAAATCAATTTAAATACTCACTATTTGATATATTTCCTCCGTTCCATGAAAGACTCCTAATTGGCCTTGACACGAAGTTTTAGAAAAATAAAATAGAGTGGTTGAAAGTAATGTAAAGGAGAGATAGAGATTGTAACCCACAATAAATTGTCTAAAATTTGAAAGGAGCCTTATTAGAGACTTTACAAAGGAAAAATGATGAGTCTTTTTTGGGACGGAGGAAGTATTATGTAGCCTCTTGTATATCTTATGCAAATGGAGACTGTCAAAATTAATACAACTTTTCCCACTCGATTACTCAACCGTCGGGAATTGGATTCTTGAAGTTGATGATGAGCTATTAAAACATAAGATAGGTCAACTTTTTAGAAGTTTTGAGGATTGTCATGCATTCTACACTCAATATGCACGCTCTATTGGTTTTTGCATCTCCTTTTTTAGCTTGCAAAAGTAGAAGGGGTGATAAAACTTGGAAATAGTTTGTGTGCTAGAAGCAAGATTTTAGAAAACCTTCCGAAATAGGTATTCAACCTATTCATCTTTTAATAGGACCATAATTCAATGTTTCAAAACAAAAACAAAAGAGAAAAAAAAAGAGTTGAAACTCGGGGAGGATGTCGTGCACATATGTTAGTAGTCTTGTGTGAAGGAGGGTGTAAGATTGTTCGTTTTGAAGAGGCACTTGTGCATCCCATTGTGACTCCAAATTGAGGGCACTTTCTTTCTTTGGCTAAAGAAGTTTCCATTGCGCACAAACACATGTTGTGTAGTGCTAGCAAAGTGAACATTGGGCCTTCAAGGTGTTTGTCGTACAACAAATATAATGAGTGAGCATCAAAATGTAGGGTGCACAAAAAGATTTTCTCTAACTACCAAAGATGTCTCAAGGCCATTATTAAACACAATGATGCACAAATTCCATTAACATGTTGAATAGGTCAAAGGAAGCCGAACCAAAATTCTACTTTGAAGATGAGATTGATGAGGTTCCTTTGGGTTTTTTGGTCCGATTCGTTGAGTCGCACAAACTTTTATGCCTTCAAAGTTTTACTTTCATTTGAGATTACGCATTGAACAATCATATATGAGTTGGTCTTTTGCCTATCCACCGGTGTGGACAATCACCAAATTATCTTCGGTGCAACTTTGGTTGTTGATGAAAAAAACAAATACCTTTCAATGATTGTTTGAGAAGTTTTTGGATGCAATGGGAGGTAAACAACCCATGACTAAGATTTAGCCATAAAAAATGTCTTATCTCAAATGTTTGGCACCTTGAGTCCTAGGCATAGTTATTAATGGCGAGTGGCGAAGGGCGGGCGAGAGGACCTTTTTTATGGCAAGAGGAGGGTGGTCAAATGGAAAACATGTATATATATGTGTGTGTGTGCAAAAATTTACTAGGTTGTGAAATTATACAGAAATTTATTATTAGTGAAAATGTGCAAAGTTGACCAAAAATCAAAAAGACGAAAAGATTTTTTTAGAGAGATTATATGGAAAGAGTGGACTACCATTCTACCAAGCAGAACACATACGGGAGTAGGGAGTATGTTTTAATTAAATAATCACACAACTCCGTAAATAATACTCCGTAATTTTAAAGTGAAATTAAAGCGAAAGGGGAAAGCAGCGAGAATGTGCCATATACAAGACCTATGAATCGAGGTGTCAAACGCTTGAGAAACAACATTTGTGGCTAGATCTTGGTCAGTGTTTATATTTTAGAGTTTTTACGCCTCCCATTTCGTCCAGAAACTTCCCAAATTTCTAAAAAAAGAATTTTGTTTTTTCATCACCAACTAAAGCTGCACTGAAGCAAATTCACTTCCGGCAGTTTTCCACTTCAGTGTATGGGCTAAAGATGAACTCATATTTATTTGTTCGGTGCGTAGTGTCAAACAAAAGTAAATGACGAAGGGTTAAAAAGTTTATACGGCCCAACAAATAAAACCAAAAAACACTTTTTACATGACCCTCTTCATCAATTTCATGTGCAAAGTAGAATCCTCATTCAGTTTCCTTTCTCCTATTCAACTTGCCAATTAGCATGTGTGCATCATTGTGTTTAATATTGGCCTTGAGACCTCTTTGCTTGTTAAGAAAATCCTTTTTTGTGCATCCTACATTTTGATGCCCGCTCGTTATCTCCGTTGTCACGTTAAGCACCTTGCGGGGCCCAAGACTCACTTTACTAGCACTACACAACACGCGTTTGTGCACCAAAAACTTCCAAAGTGTCTTCAATTACGAGTAACAAAGGGATGCACACATGTGCCTCAAAACGAGTTATCTTACATTTGCCTTTACACAAGACTACTAAGATATGTGCATGACATCCTTCCAATGTTTCAGCTCTTGTTTCTCTTTTGTTCTTGTATTTAAACATTGGACTTTGATCCTAAAAGAAGAATAGGTTAAAGCCTTCTTTTGGGAAGTATTCTAAAACCTTGCTTCAAAGATTTTTCATTCAGGACTTATCACCATTTTTACTTTTGAAAGATGAGGAGGAACGGATGGTAAAACCAACAGAGCGTGCATAATGATTGTAGAATGTGTGGTAATCAAAAAAAACTTTTTAAATGTTGACCTATCTTAGGTTTTAAATTCTCATGAACTTCAGGAATCGAGTTCCCCACGGTTGAATAGTCCAATGGAGTTTAAAATAGTGAATATTGAAATTAATTTTTGTTTAAAGAAAATTGGACACACCACTATAATGTTCATCACAAAAAAAAATACCAAGTAGAAAGAATAATGTAACTAGACAAGTGAAAAACCACATAAGTATACTCAGTAAAAAGCTCATTACCAGGAAAACAAGGAAATTATGATCACAACAAACAAAATGGAGAAAAAAAGAACACATCAAGATAACTATTGCCACAAAAATACCAATATACTAAAAAATTGAAACTTTACATTCATACCCGGAGTATTATCTTAAAGCAATATAGGACTCCCCAGAAAAGCAACCGGATACCGTTCTCGAATTGGGTTTAGATTATTACTCCTCTTGTCCCAAAATAAAAGGTGAAGTTCGGTTTACGATGTTTGACTAAAGTTATTTTTAATTCAATTTATCTCAAAGTTGGTGTACAAATAAAAAATAAAAATTACTTATTTAATAACTACATCAAAAGATCTATAAAACAAGAGGTGAATGACTCTATTATTTTATCAATTGAGTAACTAAAATAAGCAAAATGAATAATGTTTGACCTTGTGAATAGTGTCTACCCCTTTTATATTGGAATGGAGGAAGTATACTGATGTTTAATCTATAAAACCCAGAAATATAATATAAAATGGTATAAAAAATAGAAATTAAGCATTAAGAATTACATACAAATGGGTAGATTTTTCTTTGTAGGTGCTTGAAAATGGTCCAATTGTAGAAGCCGGTCAAACTGAAGCAGAGCAAATCAAATAATAATATATTCCAATGGGTTGGGATGTTATTCTTCGTTAAACAAATTCCCATGTATCCAATAGAGGAAGAAAGGCTGTGAAAATTTAAACCAATTTCTATGTTAATTGAAATAGAAAGGTAGGACCCAATTTGTATGTTAATCTCAGCTACCGAATTCTCCTTTTGTTACTACAAGTATATTTTATGGAGTAAAACGCTTTGTCTTGTTCGCGTTGTGATCAAAGAAGGGCTGTGTGGGATTATTCGACCCAGACCTAGTTTTTAATATACCCAACATATAAATGGACTCAATTCGAATGGAATGATATGTTCAATAGCCTGTCATCTCGCCGAAGCTGTAATTGTACCAAAACATGTCATCTTACTAGAGTTGTCCATGTGACAAAATACGCAAGTGATCCACATGTCATCTTACTGGGAAAAAATGTTGGAAATTAAATACAGTAACAATCTTTGCTTGACTAAGACTATAATTTTGCCAAGAACCGTTCAAATAAGCAAGTGGTGTAGTCTCGCTTCAAGAGTGTGCTTCGTCAGGGATTTTGGGCTTTTGACTAGCCTTGGATTATTTTCATCAAAAGCTTCTTACTTAATGTCTAAAACCTTACTGCGTTTGGGTTTGTTCATCTTTTTTCCTTCAATCTCAGACAGTCTCACCAGCCTCCAATGAATTTCCCAGGTTCTGCAAGCCTACCCACGCTCTTCTCCAGTCTATCCGACTACCACACGTGCCATGTGCCGCCTCAATTACCCTCTGTCTGCAGTTTCTCTAGAGTATCTTTTTCTTTTCTCGTAATGCCTTTGCTTGGAGTTTTGGACAGTCTCTATTTACTTATGCCGTGAGAGCTGAACAAAATCTTTCATTTTAAGGTCAGCCTCTATTTTATTGTGTGCTCTTGCCAATGATCCATTTTATTAGTTCTGAAACATTTCTCTGTTAATGAACTATTTTAAGGAAGTGGCTTGAGAAAGGTTAGGAATCTATATAGGCTACATTTAATTAAATAGATGTTAATTCAACTTTCGTAAATGCAGGCTAAAAGTATGATAACTATAAGAGTAGTTCATGAATTAACTTATTTTGCAAGGGTAGGTGATATTGTATTCCTCAACAAAATCTACGCAAGATAGGATTCTCAAAGACAGTATATCTGAAGGTGGACTCGTTTTAATAGAAAGAGCCTAAGAGGAATATCATGTAGTATTTTTACCTTAAATTTCCAAATCATCAGCTAGCTTAGATGACTAATGAAATATGCGATACTTTTTACCTAAAAAAGGATCTATTCTTTACTACTCACATAAAAGGATGAGTGTTTTTGTCTCCATTTTCTAGGGATGTGATCTTTCCTTATCTTCTTAAAGTCCATTTGACATTTTACTCTTTGGTTGTGGTAAATGGTGGAAACGACCCAAGCCAGACCTCCCCTTATAAAAAACATTTGGCTTGTTTCAAATATATGAGTCATGAGCCTTGCCTTTGACCTGCATGATGCCTTTATTGGCTGAGCTTGGCCTGTTCAAAAGCCAGGCCAGACTAGAGGCCTTTTTAGACTTTTGAAGCATGAATTCTCAATTATTAAACTTTTTGTCTATTTATCCAAAGTACATAGTAAGATAAATTATTCCTAATACTTCCACCGTTCCATTAAAATGTTCCACGTTTATTTTTCTGTGTGTTCCCAAAAAAAGTTCCTCTTTCCCTTTGAGGAAGAAATTCTATGGTTCACACAATTTCTCTTTTCTACACAAAAGTCAACCACACACTTTTATTAATCACCGTTTCCGGTCAATTGTGGAACCTTATTTCAGGATGGAGGAGGTATATAATAGAGTTTACAAAGTTATAGTAAATCAAGTCCACAAAATTTACAACAAAACCAAATAGAGCATCATAACCAAATAGAATCAAATCTGCCACTTAGGATATGGAGTGTAAAGAAGGTAAACAAAGTTGAGTGAGATGAGAGGAGTGAAAGTGAATTAGGATTTAGGATTTATGATAGAGATAGATAACAAATTATACTATGAGCTCTATTTTTTTAATAAAAAATACTCCCTCCGTCCTAAAATTAACTTCCCACTTTCCATTTTGGGTCGTCCTAAAACAATCTTCCCATTACTTAAAATGGAAATTTTTTATTCAGCAAATGACATTTATACCCCTAACTAATATACCCACCTTTCTCCATCTTTCACAATTTACGGCTCTCACCCAAATAAGTTCTCTCTTTCACCATTTCACACCTCTCTCATAACCAGTACTCTGTCTCTCCCTCTTCTGCCTCTTTCCCCTATCTTAACTCTTCATTCAACTCCTAAAGTTTCTTGTTTTAATTGGTCTGCATCATCACCCCTTTATGCTCTATACATCGTTGTGGTCACCACATCTTCATCCCTGACTCCATTTTCGTCTCAGGAGTTCACAGATTTAGACAAATTGGCATAGTGTGATTCGATGGTGGCCCAAGCAAAGCTTCCGGGACGAGATTTGCCACGCAGATCTAGCTGCTACATGTTGAGAGCAATCAGATCTCAGATCTGAATCGATGCCAACAACGACGATTATGACTACCGTGGAGTTTGCAATCAGAGTTCATATCTTCTTTTTTTTTTTTGTACATATTTGTGTTTTTGGGTGATGAATCTTCAAACTGGGCACCCTAATTGCCAATTCTTTGTTTTAATCTTCATTTTTCAAGAGACTCTAATTTTCTGATGTTTAAAGGACAATGAATCCTTTTGGTTGCATTGTGTATGTGCTTGATCTTAGCGAGGGAGAGAAGAGGTAATTTTTTCTCATGTCTGTGATTGAGAATGTGAGGGTGGAGGATAAGGGGTATTTTGGGAAAGTCAAAGCAATTTTAACATTTCCTTAAAAATCACCTCCGGTCAATCCGAGAAGTTAATAATAGGACGGAAGGAGTAACAAATAAGCTGGCCTAGTAGGCCCTTAAGGCTCACCAGTAAGCTCATCCTTGGCCTGGTTTGTCAAAGAGGCTTTGTTGCGACCTTGGCCTGGTCTTTTTATATATTTCTTTTTGTAAAAAATGGTCCTTGGGAACCTTTTGGAAGTTAATATGAGTGATGGCCAAAAAAATGGAAATCACTCTTCAATTTGCCTTGTGGCCTTCATGCTCCAAGGGTTGGACTGTTTGGTGCATTGTTTCCTTTAGGCATGTCAATGGGTCGGGTTTGGATCCGGACACGACCCGAATCTAGAGTTCTTAATCAGGTATGGGACACTTTGGTTTTACCCAGACCTGGACTGGGTTTCAATTATAACTTATTAAATGGGGCGGACTTTGGTTCTCTTCATCCCACATTCTATGTGCGAAATCATTTGAAGCTAAGCGCTTCCTATATTGTAGTGAGGCAGCTCTATGAATGTAATTGCAATTTTGCTTATATTTCTAAAGCAAGTGATGATTGCTTTTTATTTGCTTTTTACTTCATATTTGTATCTTTGTGTTCTCCTATTTAATATTATGGATTATAACCATGCCTGTAAAATGGCCTTTGTCAATCTATATTGGCAGGTTTCATCATTAATCAATCAACTTGTATGATGTATCAACAAGCCCAGGAATGCAGCTTCAGGGGTTGGCTAAAAATAGTGAACAGCAGGCTCAAGGTTCAAATGGTTCTATGCTTGATATTCTTTATAACAGTTGGTTTACATAGGCATAGTGACAAATGTGCAACTATGCCAATATTTCAACATCATTATATTTCTGGAAATGTCATGGTTCCACATAGTGAGACCATCTTTTATTTGGTTGATCAGGATCAATTTCTATCTCCATCACTGCCTAATCCAGTTTACCTATGTATGTGTGCCATCATTCACCAGCTACGATATGGTTGCCTCTCTTCAACATTAAAAATCCACGTCTAGACAGACTAGATCCTTGTAACCGGTTCAGACCTTGTGCAGGAGCTAGGCCTATTTGTGTTCTTTAAAAACACTAGTGTGTGTTTGCATTGGAACCTGATTACTTAAACCAGGAAGGTTGCCCTGCCCTCAGTCATTGCATAAAGATTGTCAGCTGACTGGGTGTAACATTTTGTGGTATGGTCAGGATCTTGCTAATGGAAGTGAATTTCAATGAAGTCCGAAGCTCGTATATGCCCACTTGTGAGTGATGGAGAATTCGCCATTTACGCTTGGCTAACCAACGTTGTAGGTTTTTTTACCACGAGATTTGACAATTTGGGTCCCTAATAAAATCGAATAAATGGACACAAATATGACTAAAAATTAACAAAAAAGACATAGGAGTCGTATTAGTTTTTATATATATATATTATGCCAAAATTGCCCCTTAAAGCCAAGCGTTCCAAGGGCACGAGTATCCAAGCGATTTGAGGAATTGGATCCCTTCTACAGCTGGTCCAGATCCATCGCAATCGCAAAGCTTACAGGGGTTACCGATTAGATCCTTGGTGAGTTCGGACTGATGGTAGCGGGGGACTTCTCTGGAAATTTGGACGATGGCGTCTGGCGGATTTGGGCGGCGATTGAGGGGTTGAACGGGAATCACATCATAGATATTGAGTGGCTAGGTGTTATAGCACCTTCGGAGATGGGTTAATCATCGCTCCCTCCTTGGCTCTTAGCCTTGCTGTGAAGCTATTCTTTAGTGGTGAATCATCGTCGCCGCCCTCGAAGTAATGAGAGGGTCGTGGGTGAGATCTGACATGTGGCGGAGGTGATGACGGTCGGTTACGGTGGTGATGTTCTGACATGACGGTGATGTCAGTTCAATTAGATCGTGCCTCTAGTGAGGGTGGCCATGAAACACGACGAAAATTCTCAACAACGACAATTCTGTGGGCCTACACTTCTCGCTCGAGCTATCAATCTTTTTTTTTTGAACGAAAGAACTTCATTAATGAAAAATATTAGGGGTACACTAAAAGGTATACTCCAATTGTACCACATTGCATCTCCACCATACAATCTTATTGTTGATAAAAAAGATTGATGGGTATTGAATAGATAAAGAATGTATGGTTAGAATTGATTGTGTACAAATAGGTTACACAATTTGGTGTACCCTATCATTACCCTTCATAAATCACAAACCAAATCTATTTAGAGGTATTATGCAACACACTTTATGAGAAGGAACAGTGCAGATATAAACAATTGCTATCCTCAGCAGCCCCCACATAAAGAACAAGTCGTATTCAGGCTAAGGAATTTGCTTAGATTGACTCTTGTTTGAATTCTACCCTTGTATATATAATAAGCTAACACAAGAATTGATATTTTGGAGGGCATTCTTTGTTCCACACAATCACACAAGTCTACTTTTGGTTGCTCTCCCAATAACTATCTGTACCCTTTGGTAGTAACTTTTTTTTCCATTTAATTATCATCCTTTTTTACCATTGTTACTAGAAAGTTTTAGGATTAGTTTACTGTGGTGACGGCTGTGACAATGTGGTTGTGGAGTTGGAAGTATGGCAGTAGAGTTAGCAGTGTGGAGGTGGTGGCAATATGGTGGCAGTGGTTGTATGGTGACTATTTTTTTAAATTAAAATTTAATTTTGTTTTAAAATATTAAACTAGGTATAAGTGTCTCTTAACTGTTATAACTGTTATAATTTTGCGATGTTGGTGGCAGAGGCTGTGACAATGTGGTAACGACGGTAGCAGTGTGGCGTGAGGGGTGGTAGTGTGGCGACGGTGGAGTGTAGCTGTGGTGGCGGCGGCAGTGGGGAGGTGATGGTGCCAGGTGTGGTGGCAAAGTTTGTAGTGGTGTTAGTGTGGGAGTGGTAGTGTTTTAATTTTTAAATGAACCACTCTTATGTTGGGCTGGACGATGTAAATTAGGTAGGTCCGTGCTACAGTGCACCCGCCCTTGCCTCCGTTTCTTCCTCCCTATTTAAGTTGTTTTTTACCTTTTCTCCTTCTTTTGTTTTCTTTTTTTTCTTTCCTCTACGTCGCTCTGGCGGCTCTGCTTTTCCGCGCCAGCACTCTCCTCTCCCTTTTCTGCGCTCTCCTTCCTACAAGGCAGGTAATATCTTCTTTTTCTTATTTTCCTCTTCATATCTCTGATGCGCCAACCCCTGTAGCACGACCATCCCTCTGTCAATCTCTTCTCTTCATTCCATTTTTAGTCAATTTCTATAGCAATAATTTTTTGAATTTTTGTGGAGTACATAGGGTATTTGGTGATTATGGACTTACAAACATGTATTGTTACACATGTTGAGAATGATCAACCACATGATTTTGGTGGTGAAGAAGAAGACCTGGTTTTATATGACTTGCAGCCCAGTTGTAAGTGTTGATATTTAGACCCCATTCTATATTCATTTGAAGTAGTGAAAAAATACTATTTTGTTTTGGTGTTACAGAGATTAAAGTTCGGTAAACCTAGGGTTTGTCCTTGTCACAGATGCTAATAATCTGTATGCACTCTGCATTTGGTGTATTTTTGTTTTCTTCATAGTCAGGCATTGTATTATATTAAAGGTGCTGTTTTTTTGCAGCTTTTGAACCAGATTTGTTTCTTAACGATCCTTGCTTTCAATATTTATTTAACGAAGAAGGGCAAGAACAGGCGAGTGGTGAGATCGGACAGAACACAGATGACATTAACAATGATGTCCGGAACAATGGTCAGTGTCCTTCTAAAGGAAACAAAGGTAGCGTGTCTGAAGTGGGGATGAAGTTTACAAGCATTGAAGAAATCCGAGAACACTATCTAGCTTATGCTCGAAGTGTAGGATTTCCAATGCGGGCTAGGACAACTCACAAAGCCAAAGATGAAACTCCTAGAAGTGTTACATTTGTGTGTAGTCGACAAGGAAATAAAAAGAGCAAAACACAAGATGTGTTCCACCCGAGGCCAACAATGCAATTGGGATGTGAAGCTAGAGTAACTGCGTCATGTGATGGTGATGGAATATGGAAGATCTTCGTTGTGCAGTTATTGCATAACCATGACTTGAGTCCTACGAAATCTAGAATACATCGTTGTAATCGTAGTTTCCAGCCAGTGTTAAAAAGCAGCTTGAGGTTAATGACAAGGCAGGAATTCCCTTGCACAAAAGTTTTCAAGCAGCCGTTGTGGAAGCGGGTGTGTATGAAGAACTTGGCTTTATAGAGAAGGATTGTCGAAATTACATTGAAGAGTTTAGACGATTAAGACTTGGTCTCGGAGATGCAGAGGCAATACAAGGATATTTTAACAAGATGCAAGCAAAGAATGACGGGTTTTTCTTTAGCATGGATGTGGACAAAGAATCAAAGTACGATTACACCAAAGTATGTAGTGTCAAATGTCACAACATCACCAAAGTATTTGTAACACTGACGACACCTATTGTCCACCCAAAACACATTTCTAAGCCTTGATTCTTTGTCAAGGCGATAGTGTCATGATGTGGTGGCGAAGTTTGTAATGTGGCGGCGTGACAATGGTGGTGTTAGTGTGGGAGTGGTAGTGTTTTAAATTAACCACTCCTATGTTTTCCAAGAATTAGGGCTGGACGATGTAGATTAGGTAAGCTTTTGGGAACAAGTAGCGCAGCCATAGTTCATACAATTGACCCGCGACGATTCCCCGACCCTTCTCCTTCGTTCTCTCTCCCGCATGGCAACTGGAAAGTCGCCGCAGAAGCGTCCTCGTACTGATGCTGCTCGCATTCCTCGTACTTTCTAGAGGCTTGCTCTGTCCTTGAACCTGAACCCGGACTTTGTTTCCTCTTCAATTGCTCGAGGTACCTACGGGTACACTCGCACTTCTGAGCAGCGCAATGCGACCAATCGCTTCTATGAGATAAATCTCAGCCACTTCAAGAATGTGATTCAAACCCTCACATCACAGTATGTTACTGTCAAGATTATGGAGAAAGACAAATGGTCATTGAAGTGGAAGCCAACTACATTGCAACTCTTGTTCGCGATGCCTGCGTGACCGCTCTCTACGCCCGTCTTCGCCCGATACATCGTGCTCTGCCCGATTACAGTCAACGCTTCGAAACCCCATCTCTTTACATTGAAGAGATGGAGCTTCCTCTCCCCTTTGTTGAAGCTATTCAGAACTTTGGTCCTTTCAACCCAACCAGTATTCCTCAGAACTACCTCTGCGTGCCTGTTTATCCTGAAAACACGCTTAATGAAGGCAGAACCGCCGCTCAGTGGAGCTCCTTGGAATATGAAGCCACCATTCCAGGAATGAAAGAGATTGGGATCCCTTTCAAGTCTGTGGACACCGGTGTCAAATCCGGGACTGCTTGGTGGTGTATGCACTATGAAAGACATGGCAACAGCCATGACATTGTGTGCCTGTACCCGCCCATTAACTACTCTGATCACTCGGTCCTTCTTCAAGAATGGCCTGCCCGTTTCATAGACGTTCCCCTCAGTTATCCACTCCGAGTCTTTGCTGCACTCTGTCATGCCCCTCCCGCTGAATGGAATGAATTTGTGCTCATGTCTGAGCCCCAATAATCTGTGCAGCTTTTTGTTTCAAATGTTGTGTTGTTTTCTTGTACGAACACTGCAAATTCATTCTGCTTGTAACTTTTGAGCTGTTGTAGATTGCACCAGAGTTTGCAAAAGTCTAATGATATACTTCTATTCAAAGTCTCCAAGGTTTGGTTAAATGCTTATACAGATAGATGTAAATACAAGATCTACAACGACACGCTCATTTATTATCAATCTGGTACGGCTCTGTTGAACTGAGATTTATTCACCAATGATGATTAAGGTTACAACAAATCACTGGATTCAACAATGATTAATGGTTACAACAACTGCTAGCTCCCTTTTTGTGTTCTGAAAAAAATTTGTTTTTTTTTCCTGTCCAGCAGAAGAATTCCACAAGCCAGGGGCACAGGCTCTTAATAAAATTATTGAATTGTATTGCATGCTGATAGTTGAGTCCTTCCTTACCCAGATTTGGTAACCTCATGGATAGCATTAGCCAAATAACCTACATTTCCTGAAGTAACTCCTGCCATACTAATACGACCATTTCGGGTCAGGTAGATATGGAACTCATTTGTCAAGCGATCAACTTGTTCGGGTGTCAATCCACTATAGCAGAACATGCCAATCTGCAGATAATATGAATGATTTCGAGTTAACAGTTATATATACTGCATATGATTTTTCACATCTGAACTACAACTTTTTGGTACCTGATTTGTCACATGTTCCCACGATAAAGGAGAGCCCAACTTTTCAAGGCTCTCTCTTAGGGCAGCTCTTGTTCCTATGATGCGATCTGCCATCCCCTGCAGACGATACAGTTCATATTGCAAAATGGCTTAGGACTGTAGCGTACGTATGAGGGTGCTTATAGAAACAGTAAGTGGCTAGTAGGACATCATATTATGCCACAGTACCTTTACTTCCCGGAGCCACAACTTCTTCAATTCTGGGTCACCAAGGATGGTAGAAACAATGAGGGCACCGTGGACGGGCGGATTACTGTACATGGGCCTTGCAAGCTGCTGCAACTGGCTTTTAACAGCTACAGCTTGTTTGGCATCATCACACACCACACTACATGAGAAAAAGGGAAAAAGATCGAACAGGAGAGACCTTTTCTCATAATGTATACTAGCAAACTGCAATAAAGGCTTGAGGAGAAAGGTTAGAAGCCCTTTCTAAGAATTTATACAAAGTAAAGGACCATCATAGCTAATTATTTCCTTGCGGCAATATATTCCCCCATTTCTCTAACTATATTTAAATACATCATGATATTCTGTTTTGCATAGAAATATATATATTGAGGGGAAATGTCTAGCTCAATGCTAAAAAAGAAACTCGCCTTAAACACCCAACTCTCTGGCCATAAAGTCCCATGTTTTTGGCATACGACTGGGCACACCCAACGGGATGACCATCCTCAATGAATATACGGATTGCTTTGGCATCTTTCTCTGTATTCCCGCTAGCAAATCCTTGATATGCCATGTCAAAGAAGGCAAAATGTCCCTTGACCTGGAAAAAAAGGTTTTTTTTTTGTATACAAGAGGAAATAACATCATTTATGGGAATAATACTGATAATAGGTCTAAGGGTCCTATGTAATGAGCGGGACGACATGTCCATATTACCTTGAACTGGTGAGATATCTCTTTCCATTGTTCCTCTGATGGATCAACCCCAGTAGGATTATGGGCACAAGCATGTAGTAAAAAGAATGATCCATTTGGTGCACTCTATGACACCAAGAAAATTTGTTAAAATTATACTTCCTACATTCTAAAATAAATGCAACATCAGGATTTTCATGTTTGCTAATACATAAAGTAAATCATTAATTTTTTCAATTATTTTTTCGTAAAAATTTAAAAAAAAATGGATAATGCAAAAGTTTATATCGAGATGAATCTAACAAGATCTCACAGGACTATATTTGTCTATACGTACAAATGACAAAAGATAATCAAATATTCAAAATGTGAAGGCATGAATAATTGAATAGTATTAAACCCCTTGTGCATTATTTTAGAACAAAGGAAGTATATTTATACTCCCTCTGTCCCAATTTTGATTACAATTTTTCTCTCTCACCTCTCGATAACTTTTGTTTATTTGTGTATTTTCATTGATTATTTGATAAAATAAAATATTCTTGTCACTTTGTTTTGCAGAACTTTTGACTTAGTTTTTTGATATGTAATTTTTATTTCTTATTGATACACCAATTTGTAAATAAAATAATTTCAAAATTCTTGGGGTTTACCTCAGAATTCCCAATTTGTAATCAAAATTAGGACGGAGGGAGGAGTATTTATTACGGGCATATCACAAACAGGGCTGGCCATGTGTGTTTGAGAGAGAGAGATCATGCAAAAATCTACCCAAAGGAATAATGAATTCTATTGAGTCACCTTTATATCTTCTAACATGCCAGTGAAGTCCAACCCTCTTGATTCTGGATGGTAATAACGGTACGTCTTTTGAGTGACATTGGCATCTCTCCAAATGTTATGATGACTGCAAAGGTCAATTTCAGACACTTTAATCTTGACAGGAATTTAAAATTTAAGCAGTGCTCATATTTCTATGAATAGACATCCTGCCATTTTTAACAAGTAAAAGGAAAGCAAAAGAAATGACGTTATTAAGCTTCAGAAAAAGCTAACACAGTACTCACTTTGACCAAGTAGGAACAGGAATAAAAACTTGTGAATCAGGGCAAAAGCGCTTCTGGAATTCCGCAAATATTCTGCATGCACCCGTCCCAGATAAAGATTGGATGGCTCCTATGCGTTTCTCTTTTAACAAGTCGGAATTCTCCCCATATGCCAACTTTAGTGATTCCTCAATCATGTTAATGCTTCCTCCCATGGGAAGATATTCCCTAGCAAAACAGTAAGAATTTAATTCAAAATAGTTGTCCTAGAAACAATGTCAATTTTGCATATCAATTTTTCTTAAGGCCTTCCCTTTGACTGTTTCCACACTTGTAAGTTGATGTGGCCTTTTTATCCACCACAAGTTTAGCAAATGAACAGCCCACCACAGTGGAGTTCATTTAATACTCTAACAGTTTAGAACAAAGGGTCTATAATTGTAAACTACTTAATTCTACATCATCAATTTCCAATAAAAGCAGTTGTTGATTGTGAGCTTATACACATTTTCATCATGAGAAGCGTTATAGTTCACTTTGAAATGCACGAGGTAATGACGACTTTAGATGAACATTTCTCTATTATGTTCTCCAATTTTTAATTATTTCTCCAATTTCGGTTTTATAGTCACTTAAAACTAATCATCAATGCCAACTACACGCAGATAGCTACACAATCTCTACTCTAAATTCCCTAATTATGGAACCCATTTCACATGTCTCTCAATTTCCACTTGCTCAAAAAAAAAACAGCAATTTCTTTAAGAATTATGTGAACTCACATGTTAAAACTTCCGGCGATTCTCCGCTCCGCTTCCCTGACACACTCGAGCACCACCGGCTTTCCGTTATCGTCACGATAAGCTCCCTTCAATTTCACATAACAAAAACTACAGTTAGGAGGCTACTGCTGCAGAGTCAAATACAAATTGAGCTAAGATAGGGAGATGTGATTGTAGAGACTTACTACTCCGACATTGACTTTGTCGGGGCAAGGATCTGCGAGGTAAGCTTCGGTGACCCCTAAGATTGGATCTTTCGGAGCCGGGTCTACACTTCGCCACCAAGACGACGACGACATGGATCGCACTCCGAGAGCCGCGCTGGACTTGAGGAGGACCCTAGAGGAAATAGCAGCTCGGAGCGCCATGATTGGATTAGATACAATGGTATATGCGGATGTAGAGATCGATAGTCTGAGTGAGAAAGAACAGGCGGAGAAGTCTCTGTATCAACTTGTTACAGAGAGAGAGAGAGAGAGAGCGAGAGAGAAAGAATCAGTGCCAGTTGTCAACAACATGAAAATTACTTCGGAACCATCGATTTTTTTTGTAATAAATTACTCCTTTCCCTACCTAAATATTTGGAGCAATTTCTCCACCATCCATTCTTATTTAATTTTTATTTATTTAATTTTTTTTAAATTTTTTGCTCATTTATGTGGTGGAGGAGGGGTTGCGAGACAAATGTGGTATACCTTTGGTGTACCCCTAGCATTTTTCAAATATTTGTCACACTTGTATTCACGAGGCAAAATATCAAGTTTTTTCAATTCATTTTATTTACATATTGGTATAGAAATAAAAAATAAAATTTACATATCAAAAAACTACATGAAAAGTTTTTCGAAATAAGAGATGTCAATAATATTTTATTATATCAAATAACCAATGAAAACGAGAAGTAATTGTACTGAGAAGTAACTATACTAAGCATATGACCTTTGCAAGAATTAAGTGCAAGTTGCACTCATCATCACTAATATATGATTAAAGCCCAATTTATCTTCTATTAGAGCATCAATCCTCATTCTCTTCTATTCTTCTTTCACATCATCTACTTTCAATATTACATCACTTTCTCCTTAAATTTCTCCACCCTTCTCTAATCATTCCCCTAATTTTTTGATTATCTTTTTCCACATGTCATGTCCTCATTTGTGGAAAAAAATTACAAAAATAATTGGCAAATCATTGTTCTCTCTCTAGGGAAATAATATTTCCCATCATCTCTCTCCTCTATTCCCCTCTCCTTTCTAATCATTCTTTTCTTCTTTCTCCTTCCACATCATCTTATTCTTCCTTTCATTTCTCTCTATTAGTGATAGTGATGCCCTGAGATGACCATCTGGTCGAATCTGAGAGGGATCTTTAGGGATGAAGTTCATCATTTCTTTTTTGACAACAAAAGATTAATTCATTAAATCAAAGGCAATAGAGTTTACAAGGAACTGAGGCGGAATGACTTGTAATTTTACTAGATCAGGTATAGAACCAACTTTCCTAGCCACAAGGTTGTCAGCATCATTCGCAAATCTCTTAACAAAATTAAAGCTCAAACTATTAAAACGTAATGCAACTTTCTTAATATCAGAAATAATGAAACTTAAAGAAGAATTAAACACTTCAAAACTCAAGAGCAAAAGTTACCTGTAGTCTCAATATCAACATTGTCAAAATCTAACTCCTTCAACTAACTCATAGCTTCTCTAATGCTCATATCATCTGCCTCCTTGGGCTGGAATATGCTAGACCATGGTATAGCTTTAGCCGTAACGAACTTATCCAAGCAATCTCGAAGTATACAGCCAAACCCATATAAGAATTACCAAAAGGGAGGGATACATCTGTGTTCAATTTGAATCACCCAGGACTAGGGTGCATCAAACAGTCCGTCTCGCTGTTACCCACATTTTGACATAACACCCCTTTACAAGCAAAACTCCGCCAATTACCAAGAAAAGAAACGGCCGCGTTAATGATTTGAGTAGCTGAGGTCTCCATATCTCTCTAACAAATGGTATTCATGTTGTTCCAAGAACTCCAATAGACCATGATCATCATGCTCAACGCCTCATCAACGAGATTAAAACAACTCATATTAATCCAATCAATCATAGTACCACTAGGCAAAAGCAAAATTTCACACCCAACCTGCCGCCAGCAATCCTTAATAATAGGACACCATATAAAAATATGCTCACAAGTCTCGTGGATGAGATGGAAAAAGTGGAAACCCCCATCAAGCTGTCCTGGGAAGGCATCCTAAACACAATTGCCAGGAAGTTTTTAAACTTAGGAGGAAGCTTTAACCTCCACATCTTAGCCCAAGCAAGTTCATCTTCATTTGTATTGTTAGACACAATATTTTTATAACAACTCTAGACCGAATAGATCCCTTTTTCCTCCCATCTCTAAGTAGGGGTGAGAAAGGACCGAACCGATCCCGATATATCCCGAAAAAACTGGATATACCGAACCAAAAAATACCGAATCGATAAAGTACCAAAAAGAAATCAAACCGTACCAAACCGAACGATCGGTTCGGTATTTGGGAATGGTATGAGGTTACTTCTCATACCGAAATTCCCGAACCAAACATATATACTAATATATTATAAAAATAATAATCTTTTTATATTTCTTCATTAAATAAAAAATTTTTAAAAATTTATATAGACAATTCAGTTTAATTTCATTATGTTTAAGCTGCACGTTAATAAGAGTTTTTTATTTTTTGTAGATGAGTATAAGAATATTAACAAATATTTGAAATAATACTTTGTTATCACTCGTTGTCTTTAGTTTGTGAAATATAAACTAACTTTCATAAGCATTTTTTGTATTTTTTTTCATTTTTAAATTTTTTATCTTTCTTTGATTAAATATACTTTCAATTTTTCAAAAATAAAGGGTTTTGTTACATTTTATAATGTAATCTAGGTACGTATATATTCATCCCGATTTGTACCGATACTGAACCATACCGAACCGATGCTTCGGGATCGGGATCGATATAATATAAGATCTCATACCGAACCGAAATATTTGGTACGGTATCGGTACGAGCTAAATACTGTACCACGGTCACCCCTATCTCTAAGTCAAGGCATCTGAACGCAAATACTGAGAAAGCGAGATGTTATGGATCACCAAGTTCGCAACTCTATCCTCAAAAATATCCCTCACACATTTAGAGTCCCACCCCAAACCAGGCCTGCTATCAAACTATCTATAATAGCATTCCTCAAATATGCTGGAGCTTCAGTTTCAACGAATGGGTTTCCCGAGTGCGGAAGCCAAACATCTTCCTAGATCTTCACCGTACTCTCCAAACCACCCACCCACAGGCAACCTCTTTTAATAATATCTTTAGTTTTAAAGATGCTTCTCCAAATAAAAGAGGGATTACCACCCAATTGAGAATTGATGAAGGAACTCCTCGAATAATAATTAACTTTATACTCTCGAAACCAAAGAATCCTGGTGGCTAAGCAATCTCCTAGATTCCTTACAAAGAAAAACAAGATTAAATTCCCTAAGCTTTCGGAACCCCATACCACCACATGCTTTTGGTGCAGCTAAGTCATCTCACCTCTTCTAATGTATCCCTTGTCTGCCCTCTTTATTCCTGGACCATCAAAATGCATTCATAGCATATTTTATCTCACCACATATCTTTTTAAGGAGCAGGAGCACCATCATCAGATAACTCGAAAGAGCTTGAATGACGTTTTTGAGGAGGACCTCCTTACCCGCTCTCGATAAGAATATGTTATTGCATCATTTGGTATGAGTCTTAACTTTCTCTCTCAAGAATCCAAAAATATCACACTTATCCCCCCCCCCCCCAAATTAACAAGGGCAACCCCAAATACCTCCCTGAAGTGTTCCCTTGTTGAACGCTCATGATCTCACGAATATAATCCATATCATCACTACGCGTATTACTACTGAAACAAATTGCAGATTTGTTATACTTTATAAGTTGACCAGTAGCCACCGCGTATTTACCAAGGACATCTCAAACATTTACAACTTCTCCTTTAAGAGCGTTAAAGAATAGAAAGTAATCATCAGCACATAGAAGGTGAGAAATTGCAAGGGGCACCCTGAGCAATAGTCACACCATGTAGACTACCACAATTGATCTCCCTTCTTATAATCGCACTCAATCCTTCACTAATGAGCAAGAACAAATAAGGTGGGAGGGGGTCACCTTATCTAATCCCTCTATGGGGGATGATAGGGCCAACATCAAAGTTATCGTGCAATACAAAAAAAACTAACAGAAGAAACACATTCACGCATCAAACTCGTCCACCTATTCTCAAACACATTCGTGTACCAAACTCATCCACTTATTCTCAAACACATTCATGCATCGAACTGCTCACAATTATGCGCGGGGTATTCTTCAAGTTTCAATGCTGTGACAGCAATATCATTCTGAGTTTTTCTCTTCAGAAAGTGATGAGATTCGTAAGCAAGCATAATATTATTAGTTCTTAAGCGTCGTGGTACACAGGTAAATGGGTTATTAGAAATAATATGTAGAAGGGGTCTAAGTTGATTGGCTTACACTTTGGCAACCACTTTATATAAAATGTCACAAAGGGTGATATGCCGTAGATTAGGGGTGAGTAAGGACCGAATCGATCCCGATATTTCCTGAAAAAACCAAGAATACCGAACCGATAAAGTACCGAAAAGAAACCGAACCGTACCAAACCGAACGGTCGGTCCGGTATTTGGGAACGGTACGAGGTTACTTCCCATACCGAAATTCCCGAACCGAACATATATATTAATATATTATAAAATAATAATCTGTTTATATTTCTTCATTAAATAAAAAATTTATATAGGCAATTTAGTTTATTTTCATTATGTTTAAGTTACACTTTAATAAGAGCTTTTTATTTTTTGTAGATGAGTATAAGAATATTAACAATTATTTGAAATGATACTTTGTTATCACTCTTTCTCTTGAGTTTGTGAAATATAAACTAACTTTCATAAGCATTTCTTGCATTTTATTTTTTCATTTTTAAATTTTTTTATCTTTCTTTGGTTTAATGTACATTGGATTTTTCAAAAATAAAAGATTTTGTTACATTTTTTGATGTAAACTAGGTACGTATATATTCATCCTGATTCGTACCGAAACCGATACCGAACCATCCCGAACCATACCGAACCGATGCTTCGGGATCGGGATCGGTACAACATAAAATCACATACCGAACCGAAATATTTGGTACGGTATCGGTACGAGCTAAATACCGTACCATACCGTACCACGCTCACCCCTACCGCAGATCAATATGTCTTTGGTTTTTTATGAATAAGTGTGATAAAAGTATTATCGATGTTGTCAAGCAACTTACCAAATCAAACAAATTTCTGGAAAAATAAAGTAACCTCCCGACCCACAATATCCCAAAATGCTGAAAGAATCCCGGGCTCAAACCGTCTGGTCCCGGAGATTTGTAAAGGTGCATATCAAAGACAGTCTGCCTCACTTCCACGTTGCACACATCCCTTATGAGTATTAGATTCTAGGCTGCTAAAACTTTTCTCTCGATACAGAGGGGGCAACGAGTCCCAATTAATCAAAAACAAATCCACGAAGTACCTTCTCATGACTTCCCTAATACCCTCAACATCCTCCACCCAATCATCTAAATGATTCTGTAGCTTCCGCATCGTGTTTCAACGCTTCCAGGCTTTAAAAGAATTCCGTAAGAAGCGAGAAATAGTATCACCTTCTTTGTAACAATGTTCCTTCGCTCGTTACTTCCAAAACATATGTTGAGCCTCAAGCAAATGAAGAAGCTCCATCTCTGTGAGCTTATAGTCCTTTAGCCCATCAGGATCTCATTGGGGCCCAAGATGTAACACCCTAATCCGTCTAGGTCTGTAGCCCTTTTTGGACGAAAGTATTAATTTGGTAACATCACAATTTAAAACATTTAAAACTTTATTTAAAATAATTGTGCAAAATATTTAAAAAAATCGGAGTATATAACTTTTAGGTCATGTTTTGGGGCATTACAAAAGACGATGAAGCTTTACACGACAGAGGTCTATTTTCTTCAGAAAATCCTGAAGATAAGATTTTCCCCATCTGCTAAAATCATGTGTGCAAACCTGTAGCATGGCCAAAATGTCCCTCCCCGTAGTATGATCCCAACTGCTAGAGATAATTTCTTTGCATCTATCCTCCTTCGACCAGGAATTCTAAAAGAAGAATCGCTTTCAGCGTACACGCACAGAAGAAGAAGCAAGAGTGAGACACAAGGTGAGATGGTCACTCTAACCACAAATTAAGGAACTTTCTGAAGCTTCTTCGAAAAGATCAAGCCAAGCTTCATTCACAAGGATTCTATCAAGTTTTTCCGGCAGCCACGCTAGTGTTCCCCTCCCTCTCTCCTGGGTGAATTGATAATCCTGAAATGGGAGATCACACAAACCACTGTCGACATCGCATCTCTAAATTCACACAATTTTCATCCAAGATGAGGATGACGTCCTTTCGTATCATCGTGTGAGAGGAGGTCGTTAAAATCCCCCATAACAGCCCACGCAGAATTGTGAGCAGAAGCAATCTCGTATAAGAGATCCCAGGACTCCCGTCGACGACTACTACTTGGAAAACCCATAGAAACCAGTGAAATCCCTCTTACAATTCACTGAAGGATCAATGATGGAAGCATCCATATGATTGTTGGAGTAGCATAACACCACAAGATGGATATCACGTTTCCACAAGAGAGCCAACCCGTCACTCATCCCCATAGAGTTGACAACAAATAAGTATCAATATGGAAGCATCAATATGATTGTTTGAGTAGCATAAAACTACAAAATAGATATCACGTTTCCAGAAAAGAGCCAACCAGCTATTCCTCCCCACAGAGTTGACAACAAATAAGAAATCAAAACAAAGCTTGACCTTAATAGGTTCAAGCCGATCGTAGTCCAAAAGAGACTCCAAAAAAACCAACACACTAGGCCTCTTCCGACGGAACAAGTCCGTCAACACCTGAATTTTCGTTCGGTTGCCAAGATCACGGCAATGCCAAGATAGAATATTCATTGGGCCCAGCGGGCCTGAAGTCCGGGTCCTGCCGCAACAAGTTTTTTGTCACATTCGTTTCAACTTCATAACTTCACTATTCTGTTCTGCATCGATCTTATCCCCTTACTTAGTGCGCCTACTTTTTGGGTCCACCCGCAGAAAGTTAGTTGTGGAAGTAGGCTGGAATTTCCCCATTTTAGATGGGCTAGGCATACTCCCGTAATGAGGGATCCTGACATTGAAATCAAGGCTACTCACTGCTTGATTTCCAAGATTGAGAATTTCATTTCCTTCCATAGACTGATCTGCCAAAAATCCCTTTAGCCTCGGCGCTTTCCATTTTGCCCTTTCCTCTAGAGACTCCAAGACAACCCATCGCTGGCGCTCCGTAAAACCAATACGCCTTTCCGGAGCCCAAAGCCAAGCACCATAAGGCTTAACTGCATCAACCCCTAACTGGTAAATAGAGTTACAAGATTTAACACTATGGCCAATAACACAACGGAAGCAGAACGTAGGCAATCTTTCATACTTTACATCGATGTAAAACCACTCCACATTGTCTTCTTTCATTCGCATCTTCTTATTTAGACACCCAATGTCTGGAAAAGGACTTCCACATGCCTTCAAAATTGGATTTATCTTGTTCCACCTCAAAAAACCAGATATACCCTTTAGAACACTTTGATCGAAATCATGCTACCAAGTTGTGAACTTGAACCCAAAATGATGTGTGACCCAACAGAACTGTTTCAGCATCCTCCCTCGACAAGAGCCTCTAGAGTACCAACAAATTTTGTTCGTAGGCCCACGGGCCATCTTCTAAAATACGATTAAGATCCACCTCACGGAAAATTGAAATAAGTACGTCTTCGGTTGAATCTCCCGAGTGATAACTCTCATTCCCAACCTCCAAACCTGTGCCATGGTATCTCTAAAAAATGGAAATTTGATCGATCTGTCTATGACCAATCTGCCAATCGCTAAGAGTGTAGGAGCCTCCTCAGCCGCACCCCTCTGTAATTCAAATTGGGTGCATCATCATCCTCATCCGCAAGTGTTAATCTCACACATCCATGCTCCAGTTCGCCCCTTCCGCTAACCATGTGAAGCCGAAGAAAACAAAGAGGTCACCGAACGGCAAAAACGAAGATAGATCGAAAAAAGGAGGAGAAAGACTCTCGAAAGTAGAGAGAGAGAGCGTGTGTGTGTGTGTGTGAGTGAGAGAACTCTAGAATAATATTAAAATGTTCTTCCTTTCTTTTAAAAAAAGATAATTGGGCTTCTCAGGAAGTAGTAGTCCCCACCAATCTACATCTCTTGTTTTATTTTTTTTGCTTAGTACTATTTTTTTTATTGTTAACTATATATTAGATAGCATTAAAATGGCCCCATAAGAAACGGTGTAGGGAGAAGATGCAGAACACATACTTCCTGGACAAAACTCGGTGGGAGGATGTATACCAACCTTAAGCAACACGACATCGGGCATCAGATTGGCGACAACGTATTTCTGAAGGTTTTACCTTGGAAGAAGGTTCTACGCTTTAGCAAAAAGAGAAAACTCAAGGCTAGATTCATGGGCCTTTATACAATAATAGAACATGTGGGAACATTGGCATACAAACTTGAACTACCTACAGAGTAGAGCAAGATCAATAACATTTTACATGTATCAATGTTGAGAAAGTATCGATCAAATTATTCGCACATTATCACACCCGGAGCGGTAACCTTAGATGAGACGCTTTCCTACGAAGAGGAACCAATAGAGATTTTGGCTCAAGAAGTCAATTAGTCAAAATGCTTGGGATTACACACTGTAATTCAACGCATACTTTACATTTCTTTCTTAAGATTATTAAGAAATTTAACTTATAAAATTCCCAGCCCTGATTGGAGTAATGTTTAAACTTCAAACACATGTATTTGGTAATGAATGAATTGCCAAGTGAATTCCAACCCAGTTCTGGAAACAAGAGTTAGCAAATTTGATTCAGCAAAACACAGCTACTATGCACATATTTGCTCTGCCTTGATAACACCCTGCATGGACACAATTAATGTGAACGACAAACAGTTTGCATAGAGTTCGCATATGACGTGAAATTAAAAATAAATGCATAAGTCATCAGCTGTACCTTAAGTATGGTTATGGCTGCATCCTTGTGTAGAACCTCATTATATTCTTGACAAATAATATTCTGAAGCATATCATAAAGACATAAACAGATATAACTCGAGAAAATCATAACATGCAATATAATATATGGGTATATGAAGTAACAACTTTTTTAAAAAAAAATTGGAATGTGGGTTAAAACTAACTTGTATACAATTAGGGCAACCAGCATCACCAGAGCAATGGCAGGATGTGAGAAGTTCCAAGGCGGAAGTCAAAAGCTCGGTAAATACAGGTTGAATCTGCAAAGGTTGGAAGGATAAGCAATATTTTGGATCTAAACTAGGTGTTTGTATCATTTTAAAAGATCATGCTAGAATTGTACTAGTCTCTCATATTCCAGATTCCTTGTTGCGGCATTGAAAAATTAACAGATCATGAAGACTTGGTTGATTTTCTTAAAGCTCACCTGCACTGCAATCCCAGTTCCGCCCGGGCGTGGATCATAAAGTAAAATTCTATCTGGAACACAACGTGCATCATAAGGGTTTGCACACTCCGAAGCTATGTCAGATGCATTGCAAATTATAAACCTATATGTGCAAGGTTCAGGAAGTAATGAGAGAACCTAACCACTAAGAGATCATTTTAAACACCTTTAATCCCTAACAAAACTATAAAACACCATCATTAGATGTTTCAAATGTTGAAAACTCACAAAGGAACTACATTAAGAACAGCATGGCAAGCAGCATGTAAACCTCCTCGAAATGAATAACTTAAGGCATCAACTGTTGTCTTTATCGCCGCAGGGACTGGAACCCAGACAGCCTGCTCCGGGTATGAAAATAGGAATATCATTTAAAAAGAGTCTGAGGGAACCAACATAAATAAGACACAGTGGACATATGTCAATCGGCTATTCGGCTTTCACCTGGGACTCATAAGAGTAGTTTGGAAGTGACAGTTCAATGGTGTCAAAGACTTGGTTGCTTTTCTTCCATATTCGACGGAAGCCGAACCATGTAGTGGTAACTCTGCAGAATTGTGCTTGTGCAGTTGTTCTTGCGAACTGGATATTAGAATTCCTCGCTGGATATGACTAAAAGGAAATGAGACAATGGATTAGAATCATTAACACCAGCCAGCAATATATATATTGTATGAATAGTAAGAGAGCAAAAATATAATAGAACCCTCACAATACTGAGAATGAAATTCACGTGCGATAAGAATACCAACTTATTTAGAACATAACTGAGTTTCTACAACTCCTGCAATTCTGCAAATAAAGCACCTTTTGATGATGCCAAGCATAATTATCTAACATGGTATGTGCATAGGAAGTTTCAATTGGGTTTTGGAATGCGGATAAAAGCAATTTCCAAAATCCCTACCTAATTGCCCTCAAAATATTGTTTTTCATAATACTCCCTAGTCCCTACATCCCTCTATCTTTGTACTTTATACCATTTTGTGTCTCACTATCTCTGTCTCATTCCACATTCCACATTTGTCATATTCGTGTGTCCAAAACTATCCTTATGTTATGCATGCTTTACACATTTAATATCAATCATACAATTCAATTTTATCTTATCTTGCGTGCAACACACGGTATCCCAAGTTTAGTGGGACGGAGGGAGTAGCAAATATTAATACGGAGTAGAAAATGATTTGTTTTAACGAAATGTCGAAATTGAAATGATTTAATATAAAAGCAAGGTAAATTTAGTCAATATTGGTTTGTAGCAAACCCATTCCCACACCATAGAGAGAAGGAAGAAGAGACCTAAATATAAAGATTCAACCCAACTCATTAGTGTTGAGGCCTTTTGGGAGATGCCCAAAAATAAATCTGTGAGGGCTTGGCCCAAAACAGACTATATCATACTCCTATGGGGTTGGGATGAGAGTACACGCGGACCCAACAAATACTACCATTGAGGTTGTTCACTCTTAATCTTTAAAGTCTAACTTAATTTGAGAAGTGGTGAATTGACAATAATTCTGCTCTCTCTAAAACTTTTAAAGCTAAAATGCCTGCAAATGTGATGCCTCTTATAAGGTCTATGGAATTAAGGTGTACACAACCTTAACATTTTTGGAAGCAATTGTCTTTGGGGCTTGAACGCGAGACCTATTTTAATAGGCTCCATTAGCCAAAGACCAACAAGCCACCAAGTGTTTACATAGTAAGATCAAACCCAATCAGGGCATTATGCATTTGTACCAGTGGGCCTAGTGGGAGTAGTGGGTAATATCAACGCAAGGATGGTGATAGGCAATAATTGCTGTTGAGCTTGAAGGGAATTGTTACCGTATCTAGGGTTTGCAGTCCAGTGGAATAGTGAATGGGTAAGCAATGATGTTGTTCATCCTTGAGCATATTTGTCATGGCATTGCCTAAGCAACGAAAGGATGGGTTAAAGTTTAGTTTTCCTGTTTTGGAAAAATACCTCGTTCGTTTTTAATCCTTATGCAATAAGCCCCAGTTAAATAAGAATCATATTCTTCGGGTAAGTAACTTGATGGGACAAAAAAGACGATTCGTGAAATTTATGAGAACGATAGTGACAAGGATTGTCGTGTTCATTATTTTGAGTATAATTCTATAAAGGGAGATAGCAATATGAACCCAATCCTCTCCTACTAGGGTTGGCTTCTCACAGTTCTTCCATCATGACATTATCCAGGCATCTTGCTCATCGCAGAAACAAAGAAGATTCCGCATCGCAAAAAAGACTAACTTGCGATTTATTTTTATAATTTTAAAAAGAAAGATAGTGTCCAGTTCATCGCATGCCGGTTCTTTTTTTCCTCATCTTGTCTAGTTGCTGACTTGCTGAGTTGTTCACTTGTTCTATTTCCTGTTTTGGTTTTCTTTTATTTATAATCAGTGTTTTGGTAATTGTTTTTAGTTGGTACTTATATATTTAAATACAAGTTATACGTACTTGCATATATTATCAAAAAAAACTTTTACATTTTGACTGAGTATATTTTTAAATTTACATTTTAAAAAAAAGCACTATTTGATCACTGTGAGAGTTTGAGTTGTGCTGTTTTTGGAATTCTTTGTTGCATAATGTTGGTAACAATGTACTGTTTAATTACCTTTTTTATACTATACGCTTTACATTAGCACCTAGAAAAATCTCAAGGTTGCCATATCCCACTCGCCCAATCTGGCACCTAATCGCCTAGGCGATTGGACGGTATTCTAGTGCCCAGCCTTGTCTAGTCGCCATAACAACTATGTCCTAGAGGTGTTCATTTGTGGACACAAGTTAATGAAGTTCAGGTGCATCTAACAATCTTGAAGGACGTAATATTACGAGGAGATCACATACCAACGAAGCTAAACTTCTGCAAATCTTCATATTGAATGCCAAAGTCTCCTTCAGCTATACGATTGATTGATGAGGAATTGTGAGATGAAGAAATTGAGAACTTTCTCAGTGATGATAAAGGTGTTAGGGATGACTTTGGCCAAAATCCACCAAATCCCGCTTGTAACATGGCTGACAATGAGTGAGAAGAGTCAGAAGACAGCCTTTCAGGTGACAGCTTTCTTGAATCTTGATATTTGACCCTATGTACTTTATTTTTTAAAATAAATATTAAACTACAATGACTATCCACCTTATAATTTATGAATTCTAATATATGGTGTTTTTTTATTGTGCTTTAAGTTATAACTGGTCAACTAGGTGTCCTGGCGGTCCACTAGTAATCTAGCATCGCGATCCACCTTATAATTTATGAATTATAATATATGGAGTATTTAATAGTACTTTAAGTTATAACTGGTCAACTAGGCGACCTGGCGATCCACCAGCTATCTAGCGTCTGTGTGGACCTAGCAATTTGGCGATCCATGGTGGTGCCGTGATAACTACAACAACAACAGCCCTATTGGATCTCACGAGAGTAGCATCCCGGAGGGGTGTTGACGTGTTGTATGCAGACCTTACCCCTACTTGAAACTAAGGAGGCTGTTTCCAAGATACCCCGGCTCAAGTAACACAGATAGCACAAGAACATAGAAGACACACATATCAGAGAAAGGACAGAGCCAAAAAATGCCAAGAACAAACTAAATAACACAGGAAAGGGATGTCAAACATAGCAAGCATAAACCATAAAAGAATAAAATACCAAGCATAAAAAGAACACAACAACAAGTGCGAAAACTACCACCAAGCCCAAAATGCCTACCCAACTACCCTAATCCTAACTCTCCAAACATTCCTATCTAAGGTCATACCTCGGTAAAGGCCAAAAGTCCTAGGTCCGGCCTAATCACATCCCAATTCTTCCTAGGTCCACCCATTCCCTTGCGCCCTCCCACCACTGTAAGCCTCTTACTTATCCACATTGGGGCCTCAACACTGTGCCACCTCACATGTCCAAACCATTCACTTGCCCACAAAGATTCTTTGGAGCGGTATAAATACAGGACTTGTATCCATTAAGATTATCATTAAAGCAAGAAAACAATTCTTCCTAATTAGTCACAGACTATAGGATCCAAAGTACTTCGTCTTGTAGCCACAAGCAGGAGGGGTTATTCATCTATCCCTGTAATCTCTGCTGATCCCTAACAGGAATTTACTAAAAGTTGTATCAATCTGCAATTTTATGGGGTACTGTGATTTGCAGCCATTGAACTGTTCACCTAATATGGCACTCAGCACGCATATGATAGGGGTTGTTTGTCTAAACCCTAGCACATATCTTTTAGTCAGAGGAAATTCTTCATCAAAACCCTGGCACATGGATACTAATACCAATTGACCACTGAAAAAAGAATCAGGGCGGTTCCCATGACATTGGAACCCCATGTCATGGAATGACCTGGGGCCGCTACGGTGCCCGTTCATAAAATTGACGGTTCCTATTCCCCCGGTAAACCGTCCGCCCCGCCCCGCCCCGACCCAAACACAACCCCGTCCCCTTCAATTGAACCCCCCAAGTTTATTTGACTTTTGGGTCAAAATTTTGACATCAAAGTCAAATAACCTTGAGGGGTTCAATTGAAGGGGGTAAGGGGTGTGTTCGGGTTGGGGCGGGGGGGGGGGGTTATCAGGGGGATAGAAACCGTCAATTTTACGAATGGGGCACCGTAGCGACCCCAGGTCATTCCATGACATGGGGTTCCAATGTCAAAGGAACCCCTCCGAAAAAGGATATAAGATTTCAAAGTTGCAAAAACAAATATCAAAACATGTGACTAAAAAATGGTGGGTATGCTTGTGTGTATTAATTTTTGCTTACAATGTTACCCCCAATGATATGAATGTCAGTATAGTCACGGGTTTTTGTGTAATACTTCAGGTCTGCTTCCTGGCACCAAGCAATTTTACTTGATAAATCCATGTCCTTCACAAGATAGGTCTTTCCTTGATTCATATAAACAGCCCCTTCATAAACCTACAAGATCAATGGAAATAGTGTGTGAATTTGATAGCAGTAGGTTAGAACAATATTAACGAACTTCATGTCTTCATCCATACTACTCCCTATCTCCTACTATAATTGGGATAAGTGAACATGGCACCAAAACTAAGAATTAAAAGAATTGTGTCATTGACATTGAATATTTTAAGCATAGCAAATATGGTATGGGACAAATATGACAAATGGAACTTAAAAAGTCATTTTTGACAATGTTTTAATTTCAGATGAATATTAGACTAAGGGGGCGTTCAATTCAACTTATTCTCAGTAGGGCTCTGTTCCGTCCAGTACCATTCAGTACTGAACTGAATGACCCCTACATCAAAATTGCTCTAAACTTATCATGCTTTCTACTTTCTATGAAGTTTTGGAAAGTGTAGCAATGCAGCAAGGGCCCATTTGGAAAACCTCTCTACAGGGGTAAGGTTGCATACATTTGACCCCATACCCAATCGGGATTACACTGGTTTGTTGTTATTGTTGATGGTAAAGTTGAAAAATGGGCAAAGTATAATAGGACGGAGGGAGTACTGAACAAGCAATCAAAGGATATCTTCCATGTTTACGTGACAAAAGAAATTAGTTGAGGATGTCTTTAATGAGATGCACTTATACACTACATATAACACATTGCATATTATTAGTCTTGGATGAGCTTGAACTATTTGTAGAGTAAATTAACAAATTTTGTATGAATTAACAATGGCCCAGCACGAGTATTAAACATTTTAGAAAGTCCCAAGACAGACTAATTTCAATGAAACAAGAACATGTCATCCTTGAAGCAAGCCCTCACTAAATGTTTGCATCTCATTTACCTGAAAGAATGCCCTACTCTCTTCAATTTCTTCTAGAACTTCATTCTTTTGCTTGTCAATTACTTGGTATCGTTCTGTTTCAATTGCTCGAACATTTACAATATTTGAAGGAATTTTCTGAAATATAAATCAATAATAAAAAATAAAATCCTGAAAATGTTTGATAGTATCAATACCTCAGCTTGGAGGCCAACACAGATTTAACTACAAGAAACAATGGAATACCTCAGGCCCAATGTAGCTCCAAATTCTAGCACTAACATCGCGTGACATGTCAGTATTCAGATATCCCTTATTTTTTAGTGTCATTACTGCAGATTCCAGTCCAGGACCAAAATACTTCTCGTCATGATGCAAACTTAGAGGGTGTTCAAAAGCAGCACAAGCCACATGCTGTTCAAGCACCTGTAGGAATCACAGATTAAAGAAATTGTCATTTCCTAATTAGATTTGAGCTTAAGAGATTAGTTCAAAAGCAAAATCTAGTAGAACAAGAGGATAAAGATGCAGGATTTTTTACACTTATGCACCCTAAACTTTTCTCCACCTTGTAGTTTGCACCCTAATCTTCATATCTCTCTAGTGCACCCAAATTCTTAACATGATTGGACACTAATGCATATGCAACCAATGCACCCCGGATGTATGGCGTCTATTTTTACACTTATGAACCCCGGATCTGTCATACAGTTTACACCCCTAATCATCGAATATCTTTCTAGAATTCCAGAGCACCTTAAACATAGTAGTGCCTTACGCTTATGCACCACAAACTTTGACCCACCTTACAGTTTGCATCTCTAATCTTTAATTGCTTTTATAAAAATAGAAATTTATAATTTATAATTATTTTTTAACATAATTTCTTCAATTGTTTAGTTTCCACACGTATTTACCATGTAAAAGAATTCTTTTGTTGTATCCAAAAGTAGTTGTTATCAAAAGATTAAAAATTTGGATAGATGCCATAGGGAGGAATTATATAGAGCATGCCAGTGTCCTCCCTAAACTCTTCACATATATTGCGTCGCTGTGCATATACAATGTTTTTTTGGAAGTATTATATTTTCTCATATGCCCAAGGACGTTTTAGAACTTTTTAGATTGATCAAACAAAAAATATTGAACACATTTAAAGAAACAGAATTGAACTCTACATTTTTTCCTCTTGAAGTAATTGCTCCTTCGGAGATGGATACTGATTAATGATTGCTAAATTGCTGATCCCAACAGGCTTTGGACCTTCAAAGAATATATGATGTTTTTTTGCACGGCCAACCAATAATCATATAAAAATGGATTTTAATTATAAACAACTAAAACCATAATCTATCAAATATAATTAAAGTAATATACAAAGTATGTTACTTTAAGTATATCTGATGGATTAAGGTTTTTATTGATTATAGTTAAAAATCCATTTTTATATAGGTTAAACTTGTTTTTAAAAAATTGAAAACAGTTAACTCAGATTAAATTTGGATAGAAAACAACAGACAAAGCAAAATCCCACGTGGTGGGGTCGGGGGAGGGTGTGTGTATGCAGGCCTTACTCCACCCAGAAAGTAGAGTGTAGAATTTGGATACAACTAAAGATTATCTTTTACATGGTCAATGCATATATAAATTAAATGGTAAGGCAAATCAAAATTCGGGGTTTGTAAGTGGATCAAAGATTGGAGTACAGTAAAGAGATGAAAATTAGGGGTGCGAACTATGAGGCAGATCAAAGTTTGGGGTGCATAGATGTAAAATCCAACAATAAAATGATAAGTCCTAAAAAGAAAAACCTGTGGGTTATTCGCATCAATATGACAACATTCAACTGGACTCCTAAAAAGTTTGGTTGGGAGCTTCATGAAATATTGATCCAAAGGCCCTCCAAAAGCAACATATATAGCGATTGATGGATTTCCCCTTCTTCCTGATCTTCCAGCTTGTTGCCATAGACTAAATAAAAAAAGACACAGAGCCCATCAAGTACACCAAGACAATACAGCAATATGGAGCTGACCATAAACTAAGCATTTACCTAGCTATACTACCCGGAAAGCCTAGATGTAAAGTGACGTCAATGTGTCCAACATCGATTCCCAGCTCGAGAGCATTCGTAGCAGCAATACCACACATCTTACCCTGAAAAAAATTTTGTTCAATCCTTCTCCTATCCTGCAACATCAAGTAACTAGTGTCAAAAGGATGACCTAATATAGACATTGTAATATAATTGATGTTCACAGAGTACACATAATCATTACATTTGTACAAATGGAGTTGTAAAAAATAAAGCTGACAATGGGTAAGCACTTTATGGAATACTCTGGTAGTACATAAAATTGAAATAGTGCTGTAATTTTTCATAGCAGAGTACAGTACTGTTCATGCTTATTTAAACAAGTTTAGTTTAAAAGGAAAGAATATGGGCATATGGCAGAGCAGTTGCAGAAGCAAACCTCAGCAACATATCCCCCTCGGTAAGCACCAATAGCGTCAACTAAGTGAGGTGCTGATTCCTTAAGTATCTCACGTCTAATGATAGCCAGGCATACAGAACATACATGTTACGTGTTGTCTTCGAAATATAAGAGCTAAGATTAGAAATTTAAGGTTATTTTACGCACGTGTAGCTTAAGACAAGCTCACAAAGTTTGCGTGTTTTGCAAAATGCAATACAACGAAGCCCATGCTGCACTATTTCGGCAAAAATGTATGATACCTCCATCATAGGACTGCATAACAGCTAATACATATCAGAAATAAAGCATCTCCTTAAAAAATAAAAACACTTAAGAAGTGACCATGCATCAACAAAATAGTCATCCATCACCAATTGCAAGGCTAGAGTAATGGCGTGAATGTGTTTACAAAACTTGAAAACATTCATAAAATTCCAAAATTTCATGTTTAGTTCTTAAACTCTATGACTCTAATCATCTAATGTGATGTTACAGCACAGTTTTCCTAAGCATAAGATATCTACACTTTTGTTAAAAACAAACTTATTACATTACATTTTTACAGGCCTGTGTTATTACCGAAAGCACCTTTTCAGAACAAATTTATCTCAATCCACATATAAATACCACTTCCTTTGTCCCAGAGTGTTTGTCCGATTTTGTTTTGGCACAAAAAACAAGATAAAGGTTAGAGGAAAGAAAGTCTGTGAACCACCTTATAAACAATAAGGATGGACTAAAATACTAAATTACAATGAACTTTGTTAACTAAGGTAATTGATTTCAATAAAGTACAAAGACAGAGATAGTTCTAGAAAAACAAAGGGAGATTGGGTTTCACACAAAGGAACATCTTCAGAGTACAAGCATGATGGAACTTTTTAGCACCGTCTGGACCTTTAGAGTCCTGCACCATCTCATCCTCCAAATTAGCAGCTTCCCCCTCCATCTCTTTGAATTCGAGGACAATGACGTTGTCAACATCCACAAAGCCAAACTCTGCATCTTCACAGTTATGAATTACTACTTCATCTTCATTCTCAGGATATTCATAGTGACCAATTGATAGATCTTCAAAGTTAAGGATGATAAGATCATCTAGATCTTCATTATCATCCCTCAGACCTTCATAATCACCATATAGATCTTTGGAGTAAAGGGTGATAAGATCATCCAGATCTTTGGCAAGATGAAGGAGAACGGAAACTTCACACGACTAGAGTGTCACACGCTCTTTGAAAGAGGTGAATTCATCAGCCGAGAGGAAAGGACATGCATGGCAATTCTCATAGCAGATCTAGGGTTTGGGATGAGTTGTGAAGAAAGACGAATTAGGAAAAAGATAATGTAGAAAGATGGGCGTGTGAAGATGTATGATTGAAATATTGAATTAGGATTTGTGTAATTAAAGTTTGGTAAGGAGTAATTGATGGTTGGCTAGATTGGGTAGTGGGGAGGTTGGATTGAGTAATTGATGGAGGTTAAAATAGGCTTTACACTTTTTTACCATAAAGGGAAAGTGGACAAAAATAGTGGGACGGCTAAAAAAGGAAACGTTGACGAAAACACTGGGACAGAGGGAGTTGATTAATAAAACAAATGTGCTAAAATATGAAATGGTTGGCCTTCGCTTCACTTTCCAGATGTGGGAATTGTTCATGCTTATCTGTTCCCTAATAGCAGTATTGATGTTTTCTACATAGTTCCATACTTCTATTTATACAACTCTTATATGCTAAAGTGCCATATTCAAAACGATAAGATCCATTTCATTTCTGACTTCCTTGCTGTTACCATTAACCATGTTATCGATTCCTTAACACAGTTCATATTCATGAATATGCTGGTGTACCTTCTTCAAAATGATAAACTCGAGTTCATTAGTCAATTCCTTGCTAATATGTGTCATTTGATCACTATTAACCATGTTATCAATTCCTATTGAAAAGTTCTTACTCATAAATACAGGTTTTTTTTACAATTGGATTCCGCCTAAGCTAACGTGATTTTCAGGGCATGTATTTGCTCATATTATGGAAATTTGCTATACGAAGTCCTAAAAAGTGCACGTAAAATAGAAATTGGTCACTGTATTTAACAAAGAACTCTAGATATATTAATTCAAACTCACGATTCATGAAAACAATGATGAAAGGAGATAAAAAAAATAAACATGCATTACCTTGATCTTCCAGCAACCACACTTCTATTTCTATCAGTAGAATTCATAGCATTAGTACCCTTACATTTTTTTGTAACCTGCGAACAGATAATGCTAAATATTTGTCAGGAAGTGAAAAATAACCAATGGGGGAGTGGAAAACCCGAATATTTGTCAGGGCCCTACTGTTTTTAGACACACTGGAGGATTCCAGAGAACAAATGTTTTTGGACCAGAAGGACTACCATCATTCTGAATCAACTCAACTGCTGGCAGATTTGCAAGTTCCTATATATAAACAGCATTTTAAATGGTTGCCAATATATACAGTCATCTGAAGAGTATAACATGGTTCGCATTGAATGCAACTGCCCCGGTTGCAGATTTATTTGCATGCCAGTTACTAATAGATATCACCCCTAAACGTTGAAATTTCCACCTTTTGATGTATATCCATTCATTCATCCATCTCCTCGAGCCATTCGAGAAGATACCATACCAAGAATCCAAGGCACTAATAAATTTATGAATGAACAGAAAAATGAGTTACCACCTTAGTGTGGTCAGCAGGGTTTGCCGAAGTGGCAGTGGAAAATACAAAAGAAGGATTGCTACCATACACTGCATGAGAAATCATCAGTAGATAAGTTCTACAAGTATTGCCAAAACTTAAAAAAAAAAAGCAAAAAGTTATGCAAACCAAAATAGATGGTGACCATGGGAGCAGAGTCGACGAAGCCTTCTCAAAATAAGAGCGACATGACAGCCAAAAGCACCCTTATAAGCATGAGCTTCATCTAAAATGACGAACCTGTACTTGAAGAGAATGGAAATGTGTATCAACAACAGCAACAATTATAAACCATCTATATTTGACAAATCTTAAATGTGAAATAATTTATAGAGTGAAAGAATCCAGGAGGAAAGAAGTTGACTTCAATTGCAATGGAGAAGTAAACTGTACATAAAAGTTCACCTTAGATTAGAAAGGATCCGGCTGAATTGTCCATGGAATGGCAAGATAGACATATGTAACATATCTGGATTTGTGATCAACTACACATTGGCAAATGAAGAGTTCAGTATTCACACACATGGATGGAGGAAGTGATTGGGATGAAGAGACCTTGAGACTTACTGGAAGGCCATAAAAACATAAATAACAATTTTGCTACATGAACAATTAAATATTACTGCAATACCACTCTAGCATTTTCGCGTAACCATATCCTATCTGGCTGAGACGTGTCTCCATCATACACACCAATGTTTTGGTTAAGATCAAACTCATTTGTCATGCTCAATAAAGCTCTCAGTTGGTCTTGTGCAAGAGCCTGAAGCAACAAAATCTGAACCATGTAACGAAGTCACAACTCACAATCAGTCAACCACACGGGAAAGACAGCAAACCTTAGTCGGAAAAAGGTAAAGTGCACATGCTAATGAATTGTATGATAGTACTTCAAGAACAGGAAGGTTGTAGCAAAGAGATTTTCCACTGGATGTCAACGTCGCCACCACTACATCTTTGCCAGCAAGAGATGCTTGAATCGACTCAGCCTGCATGTATTGTGCAAACAGTTATGAGAGACCTGAAAAAAAGTAGCTTTATGGTATGGAAAAATTATACTCAAAGGTAGTGACGTGCCTGGTGACTATATAACCTAGTAATTCCAATATTTCTCAACGCAACCTGGGTACACTCTGAAAGTTCATGTGGAATCTCTACAAAAGTGGCATTCCTAGCATTGATCTGTTCAACATGAACAATCTGCAAAGAAATGTATAACACACAATGCCACAATACACATTAGATATATACAGGATTGTACGCTAGAGATTACAATGTCCAGTCAGGTCTAGAAACAATCACTTGAAAAAGGAATCCAAAAGAATATTCAACATAATTCATATAGGAAAAGTAAAAAAGAAAACATTGGGATCAAGTAACCTGTCCTTTAGATCCAATGGATTTCCTAAGATGATCCAACATTTCCATAGGATGCATTGGGTTTGTATCCTTCAAGACAAAAATTGTATTGGAAAAACTGTTAGACACGGAATCAGCAATATTTTGTGGCAAATCATAATAGATCAGGATGACTTTAATATTAGAACCAAAATAATTCACCACCAAAAGGTTGTACTTTATTTAAATACATCAATAATTGCTAGGATAAAAAAGCAATAATCAACACTCTTACCACATAGATGCTTCCTCAAATCCCAATGTCTTGAAAAGAGAAAAAGAGCTAAATAAAATAGTGACTTAGAAAATTCCCTCATGTAAAAATCAATTTTGTGTAAAGAATATAAGGAAGCAAGTATACTTGATTCAATGTACGCTTTAGTCTGTAGTTTGTGCTTGTCTACTTCCTGTGCTTTGGATCTAGTGGCTAATTGCGGTATGTGTGCAGTGTGCTTCTTGTCTCGGTGCTCTTACTTTGTTAGTGCTACTATGTTTACTTTGTATGTGGTTCAGTGTTTGAGCTAGGATTCTCTTGGAAACAACCTCTCTACTTTTGAGCAGGGGTAAAGTTCGCGGACACACCCTCCCCAGACCCTAGTTTTCGTGAAAATTTACTGGGTTTGTTGTTGCAATGGAGAACTGGAAAAACAATAGCATTGGCATTGAGAAGATTGACCCTTTCCCTAATTCAGATACTGATAAAAAGATGTAGGCAGCATTACTACGGTGATAGATCAACATTTCATTATTCAACAGATAGACGGCTAATAAAGCTTTTCTCAGCACACACAGTCTGCCTACATTGCTACTTGATGAAACTTGAATAATATAGGGAATCGCAATGCATGACAGGGTAAAAAGGAATGAATTATACATGACAAATTGCTTTAAATGAATGAGAATCAGATGCTTTCACTTTGTTCCCATTTGGAACATCACTGCACTGCTTCACATGCAGAATGAAATCTTCCCAGGAGAAACTAGAAAACTTGCTTCGATCTTCAAGCTGCATGATAAAGTTTTCATTAGGAGTTAAGGTAGTACTAAAATTGTGGATATAGAAAGAAGACATGATTGCTAATGTAAAGGGCTACATGTATTACAAGCAGACAAGCCAAAAACCAGATTTGAAACAAGTAAATTAAAAAACACAGGTTTCTCTTGCTAAAGAAGAAAAGTATTTTAGTAATTGTGTCGTTCACATGCCAAGATAGTTGGTTATCTATACACTAAGTAGAGCACCAGCCAGAAGCCCAATTATTACGGTTTTGGAATTTCCTCTAATTAGTAATCTAGAAGCCTTTTGAGCTGAGAATATATCGGAGACAGGCACCTCTGCCCTACACAGGTAGAGGTAAGGTTGCATACATCCTAGCCTCCCCAAAACCCACATCTGGGATTACACTAGGTTTGCTATTGTTGTTGTTTAGTCCTTTAGAAGATTGAGATGGAAATAACATCCGATATAAAACTTTTTCCACTATTCCTTTTGTATGAATAATAGTGATAACTACTTTCTTGACCGCTGATTAACACTACAGGGTATATCATTCATGAAACCAGCCCCAACATAGTTGGGTTTGGGCATAAGGTCCTTAAGATGACTACTACAATGATGATATTCTTTTGATCACAACAATGATGCCTTGTTTCTCCACTTCTATGAAATTGATAATGATATGAGATTGCAGGGAATTGAAACACAGTACATTACATATAAATGAAAGTCTTCAGAAGCTAAACAAGGCAGGAGTCAGACTAAAGGGTGCAAAGAAACTGAAAAATAGAACTGCAAAATCATCAACCAGAGTCTTGGATGGCATAGTAACAGCTTGTTAGAAAGAGAAGCCAAAACACAGTACTGTCCAAGTGCACAGAAGAGAAACGGATATATTGATACAAGAACTTACAACAGAACTTTGAACGTTGTTAGTCTTATAATTAACTGTAAATGAGATAGAAGTATCCAAAGATGCAAGGTAGCCACTTTAAATAAAGGTGCAGTGATAAATAGTCATACCATTAATGATCTTAAGGCCTTCAAAAGACTCGTATTGAAGCACTCTTGCCGTCTTTTCATTGAACTGATTATCTTTGATTCTGGGATACACTTTTTAGCAACTGAAAGATCCAACTGGATCAATGCCGAAGGAAGCAATTAATATGCAAGATCCACGTCAGGTGAGCAATAAGCTTACCATCGTGCTGCTCGCCTTGTTCACTTGAAGATTTAATGATCACGATAGCATTGGTACAAGTAATTGTTGCATCATAATTGTCAACAATTCTTATAAGCTGTTAAGGAAAAGTATACTTTGGAGATAAGTGAGGTTACTTAATTAGGGCTATACACTTATTATGCAAAGTATCTCATAACAGATAACCGAATGCTTTATAATAAAAAACTGAGACCAATAGCAAACTTTGATGTTATCAACTTAAAGTATAAAGCGTTTTATTTTTCAAAAGTTGTGATTAAATCGTCAAGAATAACTGGAATCCAGCAAATAAAGAGTACCTTTGTACACAGGTCAGAGAGATACTCAACATCCGTTATACTGGCTTGAAATCCAAACTTAGCAATTTCATCAAGTGCTCTCTTCAGAGAATACATAGTAACTTGTCCATGTTGAAGTTGAGTAACAGCATAATATACATTTATGAAAGAAAATAATTTCAGTTTACTTTTCAACCATGATGGGCACAAGCAAAATTTATTTTTTCCAGAGCGTGGATCCATCTCATTGTTCGGTGTTTGAGCTTCAATGCATATGCAGTTCCCTGAATTTGGATCACTTAAGCAATTAACTGAGTCTAAAACCATAACAAATTTAGATGTTTGCTCCACTATACTCCTGCTAAATGACTGCAGGATGTCAAATATGAGCTCATCTGTAGGTCCATATGTCTTAATAACTTGGGACTTTAGCTTGCGTTTCCTTTGTGAAGAATTATTCAAAGTGAAATTCCCATTATTTGAATGCATGTTTGTTCCCAAACTAATTGTCTCATTCTCAACATCATTTTGATTTTTGCTGTTAATTTCACTGCACAAAACTGACAGGTCATCCACCACATCACACCATGTTGATTCAGATTGCTTTGAAGTTGCAAATTCTGACATAGCTGGGGACGTTGCAGAGTGTTCAGACTTTAGTCTATCCTTCTTTGCAAAAGGAACAAGAACCAAAAAATCTTCATCACCAATTGAATAGCTGCTAACCTTATTCTCTAATAACAATTTTGTTCCCTGATCCAATTAAGAAAATGAAGGAGGAAGTACAATTTCATAAGAAAATGAGTCCCAAAAGAATGCAATTTCCAACAAATACCAAGGCATATTCACAAGATAAAACTATAAAGAAAACTAATTACCTATCACGATTTTGCAATAAGCATATTCGCCAACACGTTACTAATTCCAAATGCTAATTTAACAAACACCTCAAAGAGCTTTTTGACAGGTCAAAAAATAATCTTCTTCCCCGAATTGTTAAAACAAATGAGTATATTACTCATCAAAAGCTCTTTGTCAAGCATGTCATATATGACCATGGAGAGTAATATGGCTAGATGGTCACTGAACTTGCAACATATTAGTAAGAATATATTGTATAGGCCCGACGTTCATATGTATACAGTTATAGTTAGTCTGACCCAGCCCATGTTGAATACCTAGTGTAGCCGGTCATCCCCTATATATATTCTGCATGTACTACTCATTATCAATCATTTGAATGTACCAATTCTTCATTCATATACCAATTGCCAAATGCCAACGAAGCTAGAGGAGCCATTTTTACCGAGCTATGGTTGCATATATATAAACCCTCGCCAGCAGCGGTGGGTTTATGATGGGTTTGTAGTTGTTTTTTGGGTAGTGGCTAATTCTTCAAGAAACTATACAATCATGCCAATCTAGTAACAAGTATCGGCCACAAGCCGTAGTATATTGATACAGAAACGATTAAATTGAGAGAAAAATTTCATAAAAAGTTGAATTGAAAAAAGAAACGAGGAACAATATGTGGCTAAGAATGTACATGCCTTGAAAAATAGATGGAAATTGGAGGAAGAAGATGCGGGGATAAAAGTTTGCTTGAGAATGAGCTTGAGTTGTAGAACGGTAAGGTTCTGCGACACGGAAGCGGTTGTCCTCTCGCCGGAGAGACTCCGTATTTGGATCCTTTGCTCACAGCAGCCCGCCATTTCCGAGCAACACATGAACCCCTCACAGTGCAAAATCACGAAGTGCCAACAACATAGTCTACGGTTACATCATCATCATGAATTTGAATTTGATAGTATCACCATAACGCACAATTTCAATTGAGGGGTTGGTACATGGAATTCAATGATAAATTGAGATTGAGGGCTTCAATTTCAATTCTGGTGTTTGGTAGCACAAAAATTATGTGTATTTGGAATTGATAGTGCAAAAAATGAATTAGAATTGATAAATTCAATTCTATTAAATTGAATCCCATAGAATTTCAATTCCAATTCAATTCCAATTCCATCAATTTCACGTACCAAATGGACCCTTAGTGGAATTTCTCAAAAAATGTCCGTATTTATAATTTAGATTTTTGAGTAAATTCTCAAAATGGTTTGTAATAAGATGTTTTCTAATTCAGTCTTCAATAAGTTTTAATTACCTACATGGACCTTTATAATTGAGATTTATTCCTAAGATAATCCTTCAGAAAATAATGTTATTCAAATGATTATTAATTGAGAAATATTTTGGTATTTTGTCATCCAATTTAAACTATATTCTCGAAACAGTTATTTCTGTACAACTAAATGTAAAATTGAAAAAATGCATTGACTATAAATAATTCATGAATTATTTAAAACTTTTAAAAAAATCTTTTAAATTTTAAATCAAATACACATCTTTAATTAGGAAAAACCATTTTGGAAAAGCACTTCATTATAAATGATCATTTTAAGAATTAATTCTAAATTTAGCGGATAAAAAATACCAAAATACCCCCAATTAGTCTTAATTTGAGTAACATTATTTACGAAGAACCATCTTGGAAATAAATCTCAACTATAGAGGACCACGTAGGTAATTAAACTTATTGGAGGCTTATTTAGAAAAACACCTTATTACAAAGGACTATTTTAGAAATTTACTCTAAATTTTTTACTAAATGATCATTTACTTAAAATATCTATTAAGTATCAGTCAAATATGAGATATTTTGGTATTTTTTTCATCTAAACTTAAAGTATGTACACAAAATATTCATTTATAATTAAGTAGTTTTCCGAACTGGAAATTTCTAAATAAATGTTTTCCCGAAATAGAGTCCATGAGCCTACTCGGGATGGGCTTGTTCCTCTAGCAACCACACACTTAATTTGAAAAGACTATTTTAAAAAATTATTCATAATTTAGATGATGAAAAACACCAAAATACTCTTCATTTAACTCTTATTTAATAGGTATTTTTACAAAAAGTTTATTTAGGGAATACATCTCAATTATAAAAGTTTATAAGGTAATTCCCCTCAATCCGTTCCAAACTCATCTATTTTCATTGTTCCAATTCTTGATTTGCTTTGCCAATTTTATAGTTTTGTCTAATTTGTTAAGTTTGTTATACTCGCTCTATCCCAATTTAAATTGCATGTTTTGGTTTATGATATTTGATTGAAATTATTTTCAAATCATTTTATATGAAAAACATTGTAAAATTAAAAAATAAAAATTATAAATTAGATGAGTACATCAAAAGATCTACAAAATTAGCGGTGACATGAATATATTATTTTATCAAATGTCTAACGGAAATAGGAAAAAAAGTGAATGAAGTTTGATCATGTGAATAGTAAACAGATAATTTAATTTAGGACGGAGAGAGTATATGAATTAATATTAACAAAATTAGTAGAATCATTTATCCCAAGTAAATTAAATTCGTGTTAGTTTTTTTCCCCACTGATTTGGTATTTTTACCATTGTAAAGAACCAATCAAATTAACATTCCATAATCTAAAAATATTAGCAAAAAAATCATTTAATTATTCGAAAAAGTACATTCAGTCTATAGATTGAATTGGATTGCATTTCTAACGCCCCGAAACTTGGCCTATCAAAATTAATTAATTAAGAATAAGTAATTAATTATTGAGACGGACCCGGAGTTTAGCCTAAATATTCATTAACAAAATATAAAAAATATATCGTTGTGTAGGGTTCGACGAGACGAGTCCAACGGTGAAAAGAGATTTGATTCCGTGCAAGTTGGCCCGAAAAGTTTATTTTAATCGAGGTACATTAATTTAATTACGGAGCCCAAAACCCCAAACCTATAAATTCACCCTAACACGCCAACCAGCTGACGTCGCATGCCTCTCCCATATTTATGATACTCTCTCTCTCTCTCTCTCTCTCGTCCCTTGTCGACCGGAACAGAGTAGCGATAGCGAGGAACGGGAACAGAGCCGGAAGAAGGAAGAAGAAGGAGGAAGGAAAAAGAGAAGTTGTACCATCAACACCGTTTGTAGGTTCCATTCTTCGTAGCTTTCTTAGCTTTCAACGAATTCAAGGTTAGTACGTGGACATCTAACATTAGGTTATGCATATAGGTTTGAATCTTACGTTCATAGGTTCGTTACAATGATTTATGTAAAAATTTATTTTAGGAAGTTTTGTTGGAATTTGTTGATTATGTATACGAATGAGTTATATTTGGTTACAGTAAGGTTGGATATAGTTAGGAATTGGTTTGGGAATGTATATATGTTGAAACTCTCGAAATTAGGTGTTCGTTGAAGCTGAAAATCGAGCTAGTGCATAAAACAGGTAAACTTCATGTCACACGGTACTGCACCATACCGGTAGCCTGATACCGCCTGAGTCCATTTGGCACTGGCGGAACCTGCGAACGTTTGGTACCAAGCTACCAGACGGACGCTAGGCCCTACCGCCAGGACAGTAGCTGGCTACCATCACAGGCCATTTGGTGTTGGCGGACTCTGTCCCATCTGGGACGAGGTATCGCCTGGAATCCAAAATTTATTCGTAAGTCTATTTTGTGTCGAGGACATATTCTGGGACTTTGTGTGTTGCCTGACGGTAAACATGGGTGTTCACACCTAGCGCTAGGCTGATGTTTGTTCATGTTTGATTATGTTGGATATGTTTATGCTTATATTATATGATATACACTTGTGAATGTAATATGACATTAATGCATCATATGAGCCTAGATGAACTCTAGGATTTAACTTGAAAGGAATAGAGACAAGATATGCCACTAGTATAGAAAGGTTATAGCCATGTGGCACCTACTAGGTCCAATAGCTATTCGGGTACAAACATGCGCATTGGGATCTATGAACTGTCGTTTTGAAGGAGACATGGACCTCACCCACCCAACGAGAAATTCCCGAGTTGGTTGAACTTGATTTTTGTTCCGAAGGGGAAGATCATAACTCCAATAAGAAAGTCAGAATCAGTGTAAGCTTAAACTTAGATTAAGTTATGAGCCGAGTAAGTTAGTGACTGAAGTACAAAAATATCATATTCATATTGTTGATGTTGTTTATGGTTGAGATGTTTTTATGTTAATACTCCTGATGAACTTGTGTGTATGATATCGTGTGATGTTATGAACTAGTGGGGTCATCTGTATGTATAACTGAATGTTAGATATTTCTCTCTTAGCTTCATTGCTGAGCGTGTAGCATTTATTCTTTTAATGCACGTAGGTAATCAGGATCGGAATGAAACCGAAGCTGATCCCAGAGGGCGTTGAGGGCAAGGAGATGATATGTGTGGTTCGAGCTGAAGAGTTGGATTGTTATTTAATATTTAAACCTTTATCACTTAAACGGGTTGAACCCTAAGTTTTGTTATGCATTATGACTTAAATTTCAGCATTGTTTTGAATTACTCCGATGGATGTTTGAAATTAAGTATTTGTTTTAAATAGTTTTTAAATGTGAACTGTGTTTGGATACCAATTTTGTAGCAATCTGGTTAGCTAACCCATGTATTCGGGTTACGCGGGTTGAAGTGTTACAGCATTTGTCTCATTAAGCTTCATTACTCTCTATTAATTACTCATGCTTAACCAAAATTATTTGTATTGATCAATACTTCCTTTTTGTCTTACGTCTTTTATCAAAAATCACTTTCGCACGTGAGCATTGGATGAATATGATTCGTTTGATCATACTATATACATGTAATTCAAAAATTTATATTCCATCCGTTCTAAAACGTTCTTCCCACTTCCTCTTTTTCTCCCTCCTAAAACTTCCTTCCCATTTCAAAATAAAGTGTGTCATTTTATTATTATACCCTCAAGCCATAACCCCCCCCCCCAACCACCTCTACTTACGTCGCTCCACTCTTTCCCTCTCTCTCTCACTTAATTTTTCTTCTCCCATTTGCCCTAGATCTAATCTTCCCTTTTACTTACAATCAGTTGGAAAGTTTGGTCGGCAGCGCCACCTTTATCTATGAAGTTTCTCGTCAGCGGTGGTGGCCATGGCTTCAATTCGTACACCGGTGCTAGCGGGATGACCCAAGAACTACAAGCTTACTCCCCTGTTGTGGCTTCTTCAGATCTCTTCTTCGCTGAGCTTGTCAGTTTATGTTGTTTTTGTCCTTCCTTGGTTGTTTCAATCACACCATCTTTTCATCTTCAATTTAAAGGTCTTTTTCGATTATTCCTATTTGAAATAGTTCAATTTTGCAAACAAATATGCCCTCATTCAAATAGTTCAATCTTGGAATATTACTTTTTTGTTTGATTTTCCGACTAAACTCTGAAATTGAGAAGCTGATATTGTCGTTGTGTTGGCCCCTCGCTGCGTTATCCCCTTTTGTAACCTTAGGTGGCGACTTGCCTTAATTTAGGAAAAGGGGCAGATTTGGAAAGTCAAAGCTATATTTGCACATCCCTTAAAATGGGCTTTAAATTAGTTAATGTGTGAAGATGGTTTTATGACGAATGGAGTAAGTTAGTAGTTTAAAGTTAGTGAAATTCACTCAAAATAGTTCCTAAACATAAGAGGTTTACCTAAATAGCCATAGTCTCTTGTTTCCCTTTCAATAGCACTCTTTTTTATTTGGACTCCCAAAGCTGCCCTTTTTCCCCTTCACGGCTAGAACATTTAATTTAATATATTTTTAGGTTTTGTAATTCTTTTTTGTAGATACACAAACATTGATTGTCATGTCTCGTGGATACTATTTTTTTGCTATATCCCTCCCATATTGTACTTTTTGTGGAAACAAGGACATT